TGTGTGAGAGAGAGAGAGAGAGAGAGAGAGAGAGAGAGAGAGAGAGAGAGAGAGAATGTGTATATGGCACATTTTTGAATACCTGTTAGCTGATGTTGCGCCCACCATTCTTGCTTGAGAGACAAGAGGAAGAAAGGCTCCAGTAAGGCTTGCACAGGGGATGTGGGTGGCAGGACTATGATGATGAGACCGAGACAGAGATTACTGCTGGCCTCTGGGTCCTCAGCTCACCGTCAGAGAACTCAGCCAGCCATGTACTGAAAATAGCAAAAAGTAATTGTGTCTGTATTGAACACATCAGCTTTTCTTCTTGTCATTATTCCCAACACAATGTCACATCTATTACATTTGCACTGTATTAAGTATTGTGAGTAGCAAGGATTTAAAGTTTGGAAGGGGACCGTGTAGGCCATGCACAAACACTGCAGCATCTCCCTCCCTCTCTACCACCATGCTCCTCCCTCCCTCTCTCTCCCCCTCCTTCTCTCTCCCTCCTTCCCTCCTTCTTTCTTTTCCTCCTTCCCTCCCTCCCCCTTCCCATCTCTCCCCCTCCCTCTCTCCCTTTCTCTCTCCCTCCTTCCCCCTCTTTCTCCCTTCCTTACTATGCCTGGACTAGGGCTTGAACTGAGGGCCTCAAGCTCCTCCTTAGCTTTTTCACTCAAGGCTGATGTTCTACTTCTTGAGCCACACTTCCATTTCTGACTTTTTGCTCATTAATTGAAGATAAGAGTCTTTCAGATTTGTCCACCCCAGGCTGGCTTTGAAGTGGGATCCTCAGACCTTAGCCTAGATCTCATTTCTTTGAAGCACAAACTAGGGAAGTGACTTAAATGTGGCAAGGTGCTAGTGCCTCAGGTCAGATTCCCAGGAAGTGAAGCCTGGATTGTCAAGGGATGGAGAGTGAGGGATCAGGGCAGTTTGAGGTTGTGAGGGGGATCTGGGGTGAACTGTTACCTAGTTTTTGTATTTTTTATTGTAAAGATACTGTACAGAGGGGTATAGTTACATGAGTAATGTGATGAGTACATTTCCTATCTAGCATTGCTACCTCCTCCTTTGTTTTTCTCCTACCCTCCCTTCCCTCCTCCCCCCACAAGTTCTAAAGTTCATTTTCAACATAGTGTCTTGTACATCTCATTGTTACAATGGGTCAACCTGTCTCCTTATTTCAGCATTTTGTTATTTCCCTTCCCCTCCCCAAATTAGAAAAATGCATATACAAGAAGCAGGGCACTGGAATCAAATACAGTGAAAACAGGGGTTGTACCATGGGGGAAGAACATACAAAAGAAACAAAAGGATCACATAGTACACTAAAAGTACATTAAAAACAATAGCAAGAAAGAAAAAACCACTTGTGTCCCTATCTTGGGGTTCATTACACTTAACATCATCTTATATGGTCATATGTACATAGCTTTTGACCTTTTCTGCTTATCCTAGACATATACTAGTTATTCCCTTATTGGGAAACCATGGGACCTATGTTTCTTTGGGCCTGGTTTACTTCACTTAATATAATTTTTTCCAAGTCTTTCCATTTCCTAACAAATGGGACGATGTCATTCTTTCTGGAGGCATATATATACATATATATATATATGTATATATATATATGTATATATATATATATGTATATATATATGTATATATATATATGTATATATATGTATATATATATATATATGTATATCACATTTTCTTGATCTAGTCATCTACTGAGGGGCATCTGGGTGGTTCCCTATCTTAGCTATGGTAAATAATGCTGTGATAAACATAGTTTGTGCTGGTTTTTTGTCTTGGGGTTTGAACTCTGGGTCTGGGCACTGTCACTCAGCTCTTCAGCTCAAGGTTAGCGCTCTACCACTTGAGCCACAGTGCCACTTCTGGCTTTTTCTGTTTATGTGGTGCTGAGGAATTGAACCCAGGGCCTCATGCATGTGAGGCAAGCACTCTACCAGTGAGCCACCTTCCCAGCCCATGCTGGTAGCTTTAGTATGGCCTTGTTTGTGATTGTTTGGGTAAATGCCCCAAACTGGGATTGCTAGGTCATAGGGGAGCTCTATGTGGAGTCTTTTAAGGAACCTCCATACTGCCTTCCAAAGTGGTTGAACAAGTTTACACTCCCACCAACAATGCAGTAGGGTTCCCTTTTGGCCACATACCTTCCAACATCCGTTGTTATTAGATTTCTTGATTATAGCCATTCTAACTAGGGTGAGGTGGAATCTCAATGTTGTTTTGATTTGCATTTCTTTTGTGGCTAGAGGAGTTGAGCATTTTGTCCTGTGTCTATTGGCCATTCTTATCTCTTCTTCAGAGAAGTCTCTCTTTAAGTCTTTAGTCCACTTATTAATGGGGAAGTTGTTTCTTTGAAGATTTGTTGTTGGAGGATTTAATTTTTTGAGTTCTAAGTATATTTTAGATATGAGACCCTTGTCCATTGTATGGCTAGTGAAGATCTTCTCCCAATCCGTGGGCTTTCTATTGATCTTGCTAGCTATGTCCTTTGCCATGCAGAAGCTCTGCAACTTCATGCAATCCCATTTGTCCCTTTCTTTGATGTGTTACGTTTTGGCCTGTGCCAAGGAGCCCTAAAGTTTCTCCTATTTCTTCCTGTAATGTTTCTAGGGCGTTGCTTTGACTTTGAGGTCTTTGATCCATTTGGAGTTGATTCTGGAGCAGAGTGATATATTAGGATCTAGCTTTAGTTTTCTACAGGTGTTTAACCAGTTTTGCCAGCACCATTTACTGAAGAGGCCGTCTTTCTTCCATTCCATTTTTTAAGCTCCCTTATCCAAGATTAGGTGGCTGTAGGTCTGTGGGTTTCTTTCTCGATCTTCAGTTTGATTCCATTTGTCCTCAGGTCTGTTCTGCCATTACCAAGCTTTTTTGATTACTATGGCTTTATAATTGAGTTTAAAGTTTGGGATTGATATTCCTCCAGCACTGTTATTTCTGCTAAGGATTGTTTTTGCTATTTGGAGTCTTTTATTGTTCCATATGAATTTTTGGATTGTTTCTTCTATTTCATTAAAGAATGAAGTTGCGATGTAGATAGGTATGGCATTGAATTTATAGATAGCCTTTGGCAGTATTGCCATTTTCATGATGTTAATCCTCCCAATCCAGGAGCATGGGAGGTTTCTCCACTTCCTTAGTTCTGCTTTAATTTCTTTTTTTCCAGATTTTTAAAGTTTTTATCATAGAGGTCCTTCACTTCTTTAGTTAACTCCTAGTATTTTATTTTTTTGTGGGGCTATTACAAAAGGAGTCGCTTTCCTGATTTCAGCTGTGCTTTTCTCATTGTTGGCATACAGAAAAGCCATTGATTTTTGAGGGTTAATTTATAATTTTGGATTAGCTTGAGTACCTTAGGAGTGGAGTCCATGGGGTGCTTTAAATACAAGATCATGTCATCTGCAAAGAGTGAGAGTTTTACTTCATCTTTCCCTATTTGGATCCCCTTTATGTTTGCATCTTGTCTTATTGCTGTAGCTAGGCATTCTAAAACTAAATTGAAGAGAAGTGGAGAGAGTGGACATCCTTGTTTTGTCCCTGAATTTAGAGGAAATGGCTTTAGCTTTTTGCCATTAAGTTGTTATCTAAGTTTATCTTGAGCCATAATGGTGGGCTGGAAAGCCTGAGCTGCATTTTAAAGTCTGGAGAGGGCCAATTTTATAAGTCATAAGCTGGTGTGTGTGTGTGGGGGGGGTCAGGTATGTATGGGTATGTATTCACATGCATGGATGCACACAGGTGTGTTACATGTGTGCATGTGTGTACATACCTTTGTGCATGTAGCTGTACACAGGTGTAGGTATATACAGGGGTCACATTGTCTCTGAGCAAGAACAGCTCCTATCTGGTAGAGTGCACCAGCCCTTCAGAGCAGGGGCAGCCGTGATAGACATACCACCCACCTGGAAAAAGAGTCCTGCATTGGGAGCCAGTGCCTCATGTCTGTAATTCTAGCTACTCAGGAGCCTGAGACTTGAGGATTGCAGTTCAAAGCCAGTCTGGGCAGAAAAATCTGTGAGAGTCTTAACTCCAACTAATCACCCAAAATGCTGGAAGTAGAGCTGTGGTTCAAGTGGTAGAGTGTTAGCTTTGAACAAAAAAAGCTCAGGGACTGTGTCTGGGCCCTAGGACCAGCAAAACAACAACAACCACCAACAACAACAACAAGTAGAGGTCTGGGTGTGGCATCAATATCATTCTCCATAGCAAGCAAAATTCCACTCAGGTCTAATTGGCATCCCTCACACTTTGGATAACAAGTCTTAATGAGGAGACAGAATGTGGATGGTTCCGAGAGACTTTATTTTTTTAAACAGTTTGTTAATTTTCTAGTGCTGATCCTGGGGCTTAAACCTGAGCACTATCCTTGAACATTTTTTTTCTTTAAAGCTGGTACTTAACCACTTGAGCGTTAGCTCCACTTCCTGATCAGGGAAGAATCCCATAGTCTTTCTTGCCCTAGCTGGCTTTGAACCTTGATCCTTAGATCTCAACATCCTTGGTACCTCAGATTACAGGTGTGAGCCACTGACACCTGGTTGCCAGTGACGTTTTTTGACCCAAGGATACAAGCCTGCACAATAAAGTCTTCCCATCTTTAAGATGGGATTTTTATGTGGAATCTTCAGACTTTTCCATGCTAGTGATTAATTCAGAAACATTTCTAACATCATGTGGGTCTAACACCCCATGTCTAAGAGCTGACCCAGCTTCCCAGCTTCTAGGTTCCCATGTGCCTTTCTTCCCAGTCTGTGCACTGGCCAGAAACTTACTGTAGCAGATCAGGTCCTTCCCTGGGCTGGCCTCCCTGGGTCTGCTGTAGCAGTTGAGGACAGCACGGGACAGCACAGGTGCATGGTTGTGGTGGCTGCCATCTGTTTGTTTCATCACCAATCTCGGATAGAGTTAGAATCCTGCCAAACTCACCCACAGGCTGTTTGTCCCTCAAGGGCTCATGGCTTACTTTGGTCACTTTCTAGCTCTCCCAGGAGATACAGTGCTCCATGGCCAGCTACCTCCAGTCCCTGGTGAAGTCAGAGAAGAACCGCCAGGTCATGTGTGAGGCAGGGATGCTCCGGGCACTCATGACCTCTTGCCGCAAGTCCCTGAGCACCAGCAGCAGCCCCCTGCACTCTCTCCTCATCAGAATCTTTGAAAAGCTTGCTTCCCAAGCCATCGAACCAGACATGCTAAGGTACCAACTGTGTGCACTAAGCAGTAAATATGACAGAGTCAGGTGGATGCTGGTGGCTCACACCTATAATTCTAGCTTCTTAGGAGGCTGAGATCTGAAGATCATGGTTCAAAGCCATCCCAGGCAGGAAAGTCCCTGAGACTTTTATCTTCATGAACCAGCAAATAGCTATAAGTGTCACTGTGGCTCAAGTGGTAGAGTGTTGGCCTTGGGCAAAAGAAGCTCAGGGACAGCTCTCAGGCTCTTGAGTTCAAGCACCAGGACTAACACAAAAAATAACAAAAACAAAATCATCTCATATGCAAGAAGAGAGGGTATGAGGCTGTGAATTCAAATCCTGGGACTAGTAACAAACAAAACAACAAAAACTTGCAAACAATGTACAACACAAGGTGTAGTTGAGACATCTAGCTTTGTTAGCTCTCTGGGCTGGGTCGCAGGAAGGGATGGGCTACTGCATGGCTGTTGGAAACAGCATTTCAAGGCAAAGGAAGACAGAATCAGGGACACTGAACACCTAGAGAAGCGATCTGCAAACGTTTTTGCTGGCTGAATATCTTCACTTGGTTCTCTTGTGTGTTGTAATATTCAGACAATTTCTTGGCCTCGGAATTCACCTACCTCTGCCAGCTGCAACAAAAATCCTCAGTTCTCCTCAAGGGCACACAGGTGAGTGTGATTGCTCAGGTGAGGTGGGGGGAAGAAAAACAGTGGCTTAATGGAATGCAAAGGAATTCTCATTCCTAGTGAAAAAATCATTCATAACAGAGGGAAAGCAGACAGATTAAAAAACATGGAGCAAGCAGGCACTGGTACCTCATGACTATAATCCTAGCTACTCAGGAGACTGAGATCTGAGGAACATGACTCAAAGCTCAGGCAGGAAAGTCTGTGAGACTCATCTCTAATTAACCACCAAAAAGCCTCAAATGGAGCTGTGGCTCATGTGGTAGAGTGCTAGCCTTGAGCAAAAAAAAGCTCATGGAGTGCGCCCAGGTCATAAGTTCAAACTGGCACTGGAAAAAAAATTAAAAGAAAATCAACAGAGATAGGGCTTTGTTATGGGAGCTCCTGGTGACCTACAGAAAGCCCCCTCAGAGTTGTGACAGGTCCCTTGGGGATACCACCCCAAAACACAGTGTAGAAAAGAGCTGAGGGAGGACACATCTTCTCTTGTTTGTTGCTTCAGGGTCACAGGCAGCAGATCCAGGCAAAGCTGAGGGCCCTGCGGATGCCAGCCCATGCCCTGGAGTGGAGCTCAGGTCTCCGGGGGCCTGCCAGGATTCCACCACTGCCCTTCAGACAGCCATGAGCCTCATCTCCATGACCTCCCCGCGCAACCTGCAGTCCCAGAGAGCCACCCTGGCTCCATCCTTTGTGGAATTTGACATGTCTGTGGAAGGTTATGGGTGCGACTGACTTTTACATATTTTGAAAATGGCTTGGTAGTGTTTTCTAGTGCCACTGATGAATTTGAACATTGATTATAAAGTCACTCAAGAAGACAAACGTGTCTAAGTAGTAGTAGTCCTGTAGCCATTGGCTTTCCCAGAGGGACAGTGTCTCTCTACCATGGAGGACCAGGGCCCTTCTTTCCCTGTTATGCTGCTCCTAGAAAGCCCTGTTGCCCTGTCTAGCTTCCAATGTAGATTATTCCCTTTGGGGTACCCTACCAGCACCAGTTACTTTCTGTCTGTGGGCCCTGATGGTGGAGGAGGGGTACAATCCCTGCTAATATTAGGATCGATGACATGGCTCAGGCTGGCAGTGTGGATGCAAGACGTTGGCTTGCAGTCCAGTGACTGGATGTTTTCTTATTTCAAGCTGTCTGTTTATTCCGACCTTGTCGACAGTCATGGGGACCAGCACGGAGTACTCTGTTTCTGGAGGAATTGGGACAGGTAGGGATCTCCCAAGAGGCTTTGTTCTTCATCTGGTCCCAGGAATAAATCCTCAGGTAATTCTTGGCTACAGATTTCTAATTGGTGTATTCAGAAAGCACGAGTCTCCTTTGGGGCCTGAGAATCTGTGTGTGAGCTACCACGTGTGTTCACTCACACTCAGAGGAAGTGTCCTGCTCACTGTGTCCCCAGGGCTCACTTAGTGCCAGTGGCCTGAGAGGCGACTCTGTCAGTCAGCCTGCACCCGATTCATCCTGTTGGTGCCAGGTACAGTTGAATTAGAGAGAATTGTGAGTTCTGGACAGATAGCCACCAAGAATGGACCAGAAACTGGGGGCCACTCCTAGCCACTCAGGAGGCTGAGATCTGAGGATCATGGTTCCAAGTCAACCTAGACAGAAACCTCTGTGAGACTTATCTCCAATTATCCACCAAAGAGAAGTTGTAAGTGGAGCAGTATCTCAAGTGGTAGAGAGTGCTAGCCTGGAGCAAAAAGCTCAGGACAGCACCCAGGCCCCGAGTTCAAGCTCTAGGACCAACACACACAAAAGACAAGAAAAGAGAAGAATGGACTGGACCTTGGCAGGTGGCTTCGGGGAAGGGGGGAGGGGAAGTCACACTGGGCACACTTACTTTGCATCGCATGGTGCTTAGATGAAAACCTACCTGGCAGGACAGTGCAGGCTCAGTGCTGATGGAGACCAACAGGAGAACCAGACTTTGGGATTCTGTGGGAACATGGTGCTGAAAGCCATTGCCCTCTGGCCCATCAGTGTAGGGCAAACCTCCTTCCGTATGAGCCAGGCACCAAGTATGCCAGGATGGCTGCTGATGCCACTTAGTGAGGACGGTGCCTGTCTGTCCTTCCAACTCTGCTATGAGATGAGAGAGCATGGGGGTATCTCTAGAGTGAGCCACATCACCTTCCAAAGATTTTTGTTGTTGTTGGTGGTGGTGGTCCTGGGGCTTGAGCTCAGGGCCCTGAGCTCTTTCACTCAAAGCTAGTACTCTACCACTTTGAGTCACAGCTCCACTTCTGGTTTTGGAGATGAACCGCAATCATCAGATCTTAGCCTCCTGAGGAGCTGGGATTACAGGTGTAAGCCACTTGTAATGCTTACAAGAAGTAAGCATTACTTACTTCTTCTGAGTGTCTTCTGCCGAATCTGAATGATGACACATGGTGTCCACTGCCTTATGGAGTTGGGATGAAGTGGGCTTGCGGGTTGACAGACTCCATGCCTGCATCTAGTAGGTGCACAGCAGAGCTGAGTTCAGAGCTGCGAGATGAGCTGTGCTTGTGTACTTCCCAGGTGCTTCCAGATCATTCCCTCCACCTGGAGGCCTGACCTTCTCCTGCTGGTTCCTGATTAGCCAGCAGGCCACTGTCACTGAGGGCCACCCACTGCGCTTTCTGACCCTGGTGCGACACCTGGCCAGGACGGAGCAGCCCTTCGTCTGCTTTTCTATCAGCCTCTGTCCGGATGACCTCTCTTTAGTTGTGTCTACAGAAGAGAGAGAGTTTCAGCCACTGGGTAAGGCACTGAGGGTTGAAGCTGGTTTCACCTACATTTAAGGGGAATAAAACTGAATTACAAGCACAAGGCACAGGCGTGCTTGGAAGCTTGATATCTGCCCATTTCTCTTTGTCATTTGACTTGGTTCTCTTGGGTTACACACTTGGTACATATCTAAATATATATTGAAAAAGATCTCTATACTTATCTATGTGTCTGTCTATCATCTATCTACCTACCTTTGTCAGTCAGTCGATCTGTCTGTCTGTCTCTGTCTGTCTGTCTCTGTCTGTCTGTCTCTGTCTCTCTGTCTCTGTCTCTGTCTCTGTCTCTCTCTCTCTCTCTCTCTCTCTTTCTGTCTATGCTGATCCTGGGGCTTGGACTCAGGGACTGGGTGCTATCCCTGATTATTTTTTTCCTCAAGATTAGTGATCTGCCACTTGAGCCACAGCTCTGCTTCAGGCTTTTTTGGGGCAGTTAATTAGAGATCAGTTTCATGGACTTTTCTGCCCTGTCTGGCTTCAAACTACAGTGCTTAGATTTCAGCCTCCTGAGTAGCTAGGACTACAGATGTGAGCCACTAGCTCCTGGCTCTTTTTTTTTTGGGGGGGGGGGCGGTCCGGTCGTGGGGCCTGAACTCTGGGCCTGGGCACTGTCCCTCAGCTCTTCAGCTCAAGGCTAGCGCTCTACCATTTGAGCCACAGCGCCACTTCCGGCTTTTTTCTTTTTGCTTATATGGTGCTGAGGAATTGAACCCAGGGCCTCAGGCATGCAAGGCAAGTGCTCTACCACTGAGCCACCTTCCCAGCCCTAGCTCCTGGCTCTTATCTATATACATATTTATTATGAGCCACTGTGGCCTGAGCTCTGGGTGGCTTTATAGTTCTTGAATACTCAGTGGTTTTCGAGAAACATAACTTAGTCACTACAGAGTGATCATAGATTGGGGGATTTGCCTGAATGGACAAAGGCTGAATGACCTCCTGAGCAAGGCTTGTGCAGGAAAAAACAGAGCTGAGCCGGAGCTGAGGTGGCCTTAGACATGTCCACAGACACCCCTGTGGTTCACACAGCTGGTGGGTGCTCTGGCAGGCTGATAACCCTGGGCACCCAGGAGCCTGAGCTTTCTTCAGTGAAGCTCCCTTAGGCAACTCTGGGCTCTGCCTTTGTTCTACAAGCTCACCTGTCTGAGAGAGCCAAGCCCATGGTACTCTAGCCCCCTTTGCCTCCTGTGTATCCTGAGAGCTATTATCTCAGCAAATCTTGTGGAAGGCCCAGAGAATAAGGGGTACTGTTGGCCCCAGAAAGACTGATGAGCTCTCTCCTTCTTAGGAGATGGCCTGCACATGGTCATTGGGAGCCACCTTATATGGGTTAGCTTGTGGCTAAGGCCTGGCTTCTGGGGGAATTTTAGTTATGTGATGTTGGCTTCTACTCATAGGGTTTTTGGGAACACTAACTGAACTTAATGACTAAAACTAGCATCTGGCATGGGTCTGAGGTCAACCACTGGTGCAGCTGTTTGTTTTCGTTATTGAAGAGTCAAGGCCTAACCTGAGAGCTGGTGGCTCATCCCTGTAGTCCACGCTACTCTAAGGAGGCTGTGATGTGAGATCATGATTTGAAGCCAACTCAGGCAGAAAAGTCTGTGAGACCCTTATCTCTACTTGAAATCCAAAAAATAAAAATAAAAAGCCCAAGTAAATTGTGGTTCCAGTGGCAGAGTGTTAGCCTTGAGCAAAAGAGCTAAAGGACAGTACCCAGGTCCTGAGTTTAAGCCCCAGGACCCGAGTTTAAGCCCCAGGACTCTCTCTGTCTCTGTCTCTCTCTCTCTCTCACACACACACAGAGGAGTGAAGGTGTAGATCATGGCTCCAGGGGTTCTGTAGCTTACCCCAGTCACTCTCAGCTCACTATAACATGAAATGCCCAGCCTTTGCTTTGTCTTGAAGATATCATGGAACCTGAGGACGAGGGTGAGCCCTCTGCAGGACGCCAGCTTCAGGTCAGGTGTGGTCAGCATCTGGCTTGTGGTCAGTGGCATCACCTGGCTGTGGTGGTCACCAAGGAAATGAAAAGGAATTGCACTGTCTCCACCTATCTGGATGGACAGGCCATTGGCTTGGCCAAGGTGAGATCATCCCCTAAGTGGTATTTGACCCATGACCCTGCCTTCCAGCCCTGCCACCTGGTACGACCCTGGTTCAGTTCTGTGTTCTCTCCTGGCAGCAGGTTTGATATCTAATACAATTCCCTCTTGCTGTGGGGATATTGCCTGAGCTCACACCTAAAATGGGCAAGCTTAGAAAGGGGGTTGAAGGTCAGAGGACCAGGAAGGAAGTCAGGACAAGGGGCTAGATCTGTAGGAAACTTCATAAGAAGGCAGTACCAATTTCTGGAGTGCATAAAGCACTTGGAAGTGCAGATTTTCCAGGAAGGCCTGGTAGGACTTAAGGTTAGACTTTTCTAGAAGCTTCTTGGCAAGACCAACACAGGAGTGTATACAGTACCCTTAGGAGTAAGACACCAACAACCTTTCCTATTTAAGACAAAAATACAAAGGAGGTACCCAGGCCATGGAGACCAAGAGCTGGCAGGGTGCTATATGAGCAGCCCTTATCAAAGGGCCTAAGGAGGTCAGGGAGGGGAGGCCTTCCTGGGTAGCTAGCCTTCCACTCAGGCTCCAGGAAGAGCATCTACATTCTACAATTTTTCTTTTGCTGCCAATACTGGGAAGTGAACTCAGAGTCTAGGTATTTGTCTCAGCTTTTTTGCTCAAAGTTAGTGTTCTACCACTTGAACCACAGCTCCACTTACAGGTTTTTTTGAGGGGGGGTTAATTGGAGATAAGAGTCTTACAGACTTTTCTGCCCGTTATCTTTGAACCATGGTGCTCAGAATTCAGCCTCCTGAGTAGCTATATTACAGGCATGAGCCACCAGCACCCAGCAACATAGCCTTTTTTAGTCGAACACAGCCTATATCCCAGACCAGTGGCATCGGAACTGCTGAGGGTGGATAATCTGACCAGTCACTAGAATGTTCATATTTTCTTTGTTCTAATATGCAGGCAGAATGAAGCACCTTAATTCAAAATTTTCAGCTTATGTAGTGTTGACATTTAGGGATGATAAAAATCTTTATAGTGGGATCCTGTTTTTTTCTGTGTCAATTTAGTGTTTAATTAGATGCTAGATGTCATAGCAAAGTTCTCTTGCCATGTCCCCATTGTGACCACCCAGATTTTCTCCAGATACTGTCTAATGTAGCATGAGGGGCACAGCGTCTCAGGTTAAGAAACACGAGGTTAGCCAGGCACCAGTGGCTCACACCTGAAATCTAAGCTACTCAGGAGACTGAAATCTGCTGATCATACTTCAAAGCCAGCGGAGGCAGGAAAGTCTGTGAGATTCTTATGTCCAATTAACCACCAGTAAACTGGGAGTGGCACTGTAGCTCAAAGTGGTAGAGTGCTAGTCTTGGGCAAAAGAGTTCAGGGACAGTGCACAGGCCCTGAGTTCAAGCCCCAGATAGTCAAAAAAAAAATTCTCAGCTGGGCACCAGTGGCTCACGCCTGTAATCCTAGCTACTCAGGAAGCTGAGATCTGAGGATCGCGGTTCAAAGCCAGGCCGAGCAGGAAAGTCCGTGAGACTCTTATCTCTAATAAACCACTAGAAAACCAGAAGTGGCGCTATGGCTGAAGTGGTAGAGTGCTGGCCGTGAGCTGAAGAGTGCAGGGACAGTGCCCAAACCCAGAGTTCAAGCCCCACGATGGACTAAAGGAAAAAAAAATTCTCCATGAACATGTCACCTGCAAACAGAGACTCTTCTTTTCTAAGCTGTATGAATATTGTCAGTACATAAAACTTTATTAATAAACACTAAAGTTCTTAGAGGGATGACTATATAAGGATAATTAACATTGCATTTATTTTGACATTTTTTATCAAAATTGTCTCCTCAGGGATCATTAGTATTTTATTTTTGTCTACATTTTACAGGTTGTTTTACTGTATATTTCTTGGATTTCAGTTGCTATTTTAAATCTTTAGATAAAAGTAAATTTTTATTTTGAAATAAGAATGAGGTTCATTATGCCATGTCATTAGACATTTGATTTATTAATTCTGAGGCTTAACACCACTTATTTCTTCCATCATTCATATTTTAACAGATGCTGTATATTCAGGCCTTACCAGGACCTTTCCTTGCAATGGATCCATCTTCATTTGTGGATGTTTATGGCTATATTGCAACCCCAAGAGTTTGGAAACAAAAGTCCTCATTAGTTTGGCGTCTTGGCCCTGCATACCTCTTTGATGAAGCCATATCATTGGATACTCTAGAAGTTATTATCAAACTTGGCCCAAGATACTGTGGTAACTTTCAGGCAGTGCATGATCAAGGTATGCAGTGTTTTGATTTATGATGTTCTCACTGATAGCTTTTAAATGGACTTCTACTTATTTATAGCATAAAGCCACTTACACAACCATGCCATTGCTGTACTGTTCACTATAGCCAAAGTATGAAAACAACCCACATGCCCCTCAAATATGGTATATATACCACATTTTAATCAACCATTAGAAAGATTAGTACATTTGCAAAGAAATGGATGGATCTGGAAAAAAATTATGTTAAGTAAGTCAGGCCTAGAAAGACAAAGGACAAATATGTTCTCTCTCATAATATGTGGAAATTAGAACTACTTTATAAATGTACAAGTAAACACATACAAGTTGTATGCAAGTGAACACAAATGTATTAACATAAATATGAAATGTGCAGGGGAGAATTCAAATGTAATTCCTTAAAAAATGAACTCATAGTCCAACAAAATGAATACTGGGAAACTCACTTGAGAGGTATGAGGAGTAGGTAGGGGGGTAGATGAAGGAAAAGAGGAAGGGAGGGGGAGAATGCAGTAATAATATTTGATGTATATCCTATGATACTAAGAAAATTTAGAAGAGGGAGTAGATTGGGAAGAATGGGGGAGAATGATGAAATGGGTGACATTGATCACGCTGCATTGTACTTACAAAATGATCTGTTGAATGGTAACTCCTACAACTACTTTAAGATACTAAAAGTATACTTTTTTTTAAAAAAGAATGAACTCACCACAGGTCAATCATTAGGGAAAGCCTTTGTAATTGGATCATTATATATTTACAACCTAACCAAAAATGTCACAGAAAAGGAAATGACAATATCCTTTAGGTTTCAACTCCAAAAGCATCTAATGGAAGAGGGTGAGTGGGTAATACCATCGGCAAAGGGAGAAAGACATGAGATAAATAAGCTACATTCCTCTTAATGAAGAAGCTTTTTAACTAAAGTATACTGTTGTCTTAAATTATTAAACAGGCAGACAAAACATCCACATTTTCATTATTGATTGTTGGCTGTTCAAGCAGGGAGCATTGCTCTCCGAGCTCCGTTAAGTCAAGGGGGTCAGTTCCCATCTGGGAAGAATGATAAATGCATCTCTGCGTAGAGGCTTTGTGCGCAGTGAGGGGCAATTGAGTGCTGTTGAGTGTTTTCTGTCTCCAAGCCCATGTCTTGTTTGAACTTCATTTCCTGTGGCAAATGGCATTGACCAGTGCAACGGGTCTAGGTCAAGTTTCACTGATTCTATACCCATAGTGTCACTAACACTCTGGCTCTTACTCCCTTGGAAAACTAGTGTGCTAATTCTAGGCGGGATATTCACTACCAGAAAAATGCTAGGTCTTTTAGCCCAGCTTATTTCCTTTTGTTGAAGTTGAGTTTCTTTTCAGTTGGCAGATTTGTTTTTGTTCAAGGCTAGCACTTTACCATTTGAACCACAGCTCTACTTCTGGGTTTTTGCTTAATTGGAGATAAGAGTCTGATGGACTTTTCTACTTGGGCTGGCTAGGATTACAGGTGTGAGCCACCAGTGCCTGGCTCTGCTAAATGTTTTATACTCTGGTAATTTCCACCTGGAACACCTTTATTTTTATAAAAGGGTCACTTTGAAGGATTTCTCTCTGCACGCAAAAACATCCAGTGTAAAAACAAAAGCATCCTCTCAGTGATTACCTTGTTGCATGGTAGTATATACATTGTATTTTCATGCTAGTACTGGGGCTTGAACTTAGGGCCTGGATGCTGTTCTTTAGCTGTTTTGCTCAAGGCTGGCACTCTACCAGTTGAGCTACACCTTTACTTCTGCCATTTTTTTGTGGTTAATTAGAGATAAGAGTCTGAAGGATTTTTCTGTCAGGCTGGCTTTGAATTGCAGTCCTTAGATCTCAGCCCCAGGGTTATAGACATGAGCCACTGGCAACTGGGGACTACAGGTATTTGTTTGAGGATTTATTTCCTTCTCTATGAAGGAGTCAAGGACTGATTGAAGGTGTGTTGCTATAGGAGAGGACTCAGACAGTGAGGCCACACCCCTGGTTGCAGAGGAAAAGATCTCCTTTGGTCTTCATGTGTCCAGCTCCTCCACCACCAGCATAGCAAACATCAGAAGCATCTACAATGAGGTGGACAGCCGCCTGATCGCCAAGGAGGTACAGCTTCAAACCCTATTTGCTGTTCACTGTTAGAAGTTTGATCTCATAGCTTGCTTCAGCTTCCAACGTCTGAGTAAACTCTAATTCACAATTGTCCATTTGTAGATGGATATCAGTGCCTGCACACCTCCTACCTCATTTATTAAAAGGCCCTGTGCTTCTCCAACCATTAGCACCATCCAAGACTAGATCTTTTATTTATAATTACTCAGAGATGTAAGTGGGTACTCTTCCTGAACAAGAACAAATGGACTGATCTCAATACATAGAGATTCTCAATAACAGAGAAACTACTGCTCTTCCTTCTGGATACTCCTGACTCAACAAAGCTGCATAATGGTTTTTTAGTTGCTCTGATTTTGTTTTTTTTTGGTAGTACCAGGGTTTGAACTCAGGATCTTGTGCTCGCTAAGCTGGCATTCTACCACTTGAGTGATACCTCTCACTTTGCTTGTTGAAGTATTTTTGTGCCAGTCCTGGGGTTTGATTACAGGGCCAGAGAGCTGTCCTTGAGCTCTTTTGCTCAAGGCTATCACTTGAGCCATAACTCTACTTCAGCCTTTTGGTAATTAATTGGAGATAAGAGTCTTATCCTTCTGAGATTGGCTTTCAACTGGGATCATTGGATCTCAGCCTCCTGAGTAGCTAGGATTACAGGCCTGAGCCACTGGCAACTGGCTTATTTTTATTTTTATTTTTTTTAAGATGGTGTCTCATGGACTTCTTTGCCTGGACTGGCTTCAAACTATGATCCTTCAAACTGTAATAATAGTTAATCAGTCTTCTGATTGCATGAGCCATTGGTGCTAAGCATGTTGTAATTTTTTAAAAATAGCAAACTTGCAAAACAATAAGCAAATGCATGTGCAAATAAGGATGTTCAGTTCTTGCATAAAGATCTCTTTGGTTTTTAATGCTGATAAATTTTGGCTGGTTAGTTTATATTCTTTTTGAAAAAAATTTATTGTAAAGGTGAGTTTATATTCTTTTTACTCTTTCCCCAAAGAAGGGATAAGGAATCAGGAACTAGATCTTGCTGAGCTTAGGTGTATAATACACTTTACAATAAAGGGGGTGAGGACTCCTTTCTTTCTGTTCCTCTGAAATCAGCCACAGCTGGGTTTTGCTTTTTTTTTTTTTTTTTGGGGGGTCCGGTCGTGGGGCCTGAACTCTGGGCCTGGGCGCTGTCCCTCAGCTCTTCAGCTCAAGGCTAGCACTCTTCCACTTGAGCCACAGCGCCACTTCAGGCTTTTTTCTTTTTGCTTATGTGGTGCTGGGGAGTCGAACCCAGGGCCTCAGGCATGCAAGGCAAGTGCTGTACCACTGAGCCACCTTCCCAGCCCCACAGCTGGTTTTTGCAAGACCCTGGGCAACCTTGAACTGAGGAGGTAGTAGGTCTTCTTTTGATAATAGCGTTTCACCAGAAGGTGTTAGGTGTCTGTGAGTTCTACCTGCTCTCATCAGCTCCTCTCTCTCTCCATTACCCCTGTTCCCCCCCCCCTTTTTTTTTTTTGCCAGTCCTGGGGCTTGAATTCTGAGTCTGGGTGCTGTCACTGTCTTCTTTTTGCTCAAGGCTAGCACTCTACCACTTGAGCCACAGTGCCACTTCTGGCTCTTTCTGTGTAGTTTATTGGAGATAAGAGTCTCATTGATTTTCCTGCCTGGGCTGGCTTCGAACCAGAACCTCAGAGCTCAATACCTCCTGAGTAGCTAGGATTATAGGTGTGAGCCACTGGTGCTCAGCTAGCTCCTCCTCTCTCTTAATTATGCAGGCTGCATAATTAAGGCAGGTCTACTTGCATTTGAGTCAGTGTGGGAACAGGGCAGGGGAGCCCAGATTTTGGCTTCAGTTCCTCAACCCAAGTTTAAGTATTATTCATCTACTCATCATTGCTCATGGAGTGCCATGAGGACCAGGCCTTAAATTCCCGTCCTTCAGGAGCTCCTGACTCACACCCCTTCTTTATCAAAAGTTTCATAGGACTAATCGTCACCACTTCTTCTAGATGAATATTTCCTCTCGTGATAATGCCGTGCCTGTGTTCTTGCTGAGAAACTGTGCTGGACATCTCTCAGGATCTCTCCGCACCCTGGGAGCTGTCGTTGTGGGCCAGTTAGGTAAGCCAGGCAGTGAAGCTTTACTGTTCTTTGTGAAGAATGGCTTCTGTAGCACAGGCTGGATAGAGCAAGCTGGGGAGCCACGGTAGGAGGGGGAAGACTGGGGAATAAACTTATTCAAAGGTGCTGGGTGCTGATGGCTTACTCTGAAATCCTAGCCACTCAGGAGGCTGAGATCTGAGGATTGTAGTTTGAAGCCAGCCCAGGCAGGAAAGTCAGTGAGCCTCTTATTTCCAATTAACCAGCAAAAAGCCAGAAGTGGAGGGGTGGCTTAAGTGGCAGAGCATCAGCCTTTCACGAAGAAGCTTCAACCCGCAGATTGGGCATAAAACAAAAAAACAAACACCCCTTCCAAACCCAACCAACTAACACCAAACAAAAAAATCCTAGCCAAAGACTGGCTAGCCAGATGAGGTCTTTCTGCTGCATCTGGCAATTGTGACTAAGCTCAGGGACTCACCAGGCTGGTGACCATACACAGCCAGAGCCTGTCTGGGGACCATGTTGAGTAGAGGCAATGGTGGTGGTTGGTTGAGTGCAAACACCAGGCAGCAGCTGCTTGTCATCATGTGATAGAGCAAGAGCCCAGCAGAGAGCCTGGTACAAAGGTCCAGCCCAGCAGTATCCAGAGAACAAGGAAAGGCCAGAGGTTAATCGGAGCAACCAGGAATCAGTGCTTTGGGCTCCCTCAGCACTTGGGCTCCACACAATGGTGCCAAACTGACAGCCTTTGTGCTGTTTGATGATACAGACATTCCCTATACAAGATCCTTCAGCCCCTATGACATTCAAGCCCCTCCCTTTCCTCCCAGCCTGACCCACTGCACAGGCCCCTCAGCTGCACACTGAGAGGCAGGGCAGCTCCCCTAGTCTTGTATGCCACCAGGACCTGCATTACTGTGGTACAGCTGTGATGTGCTGATGAAATGCCTTCTTGGTCCTGTGCAGGGGTGAGAGTATTTCACTCCAGCCCTGCTGCCAGCAGCCTGGACTTCATTGGAGGACCTGCCATTCTCCTGGGTCTCATCTCCTTAGCAACAGATGACCACACCATGTATGCAGCTGTGAAAGTCCTGCACTCGGTCTTGACCAGCAACACCATGTGTGACCGCCTGATGCAGCATATCGGTGGATACCAGGTAACCCTGTCCCTCTCCCACTGAGCGTGGGACTCTCCCAAGCATTGTCATCTCCCCTGCTCCTGTGACATAGCTCAGAATAGCTCAGAGCCTTCTGAGTCTGGAATTGTCACAGCAGACACTAGCGTAAGAGGAGCTATGTGCTGTTGGGTGCTGGTGGCTCACATGGATAACCAGAGCTACTCAGGAGGCTGAGACCTGAGGATCATGATGCAAAGCCAGCCCAGGCAGGAAAGTCCCTGAGACTCTTTTACTTTTTACAATTTTATTGTTAAGATGTTGTACAGAGGGGTTACCGTGACATGAATAAGGCAATGAGTACATTACTTGTTGATCATTGTTCCCCTTCCCTTCCTTGTTATTGTCCCACTATCCCTTCCTTCCCCACCTCCCACCCTCTTACCCCCCTCCTCCTCCTCCCCTCACCACCTGAAGTTGTAAAGTTCGTTCCCAATATACTGTCCTGTGGATATCATTGTTGCAATGGGTCATCCTGTGTCCTTGTTTGTGCGTTTTGCTATTCCCTTTCCCCTCCCCAGAACAGACAAATGTATATACAAGATGCAAGGTATCAAAATCAAGTACAACAGGGGATATGCCATAGGGGAAAGAAGATACAAAGGAAACAACAACAACAAAAGATAAAATCACATGGTCCATTTAAAACAGTAACATAAAGACAGACCTCTTGTGTCCATATCTTGGGTTTCATTTTGCTTAGCATCATCTTATATGGTCATTTGTACATGGTTTTTGAGCTTTTCAGCTCATCAGATAAGATTATCCTATATGTATATTAATTATTGCAAATAAAGGAAACCATGGGAAACTTTGGGACTGAGTAATTTCACTTAATATGATTTTTTTCCAACACTTTCCATTTCCTAACAAATGGAACAGTGTCGTTCTTTCTGATGGAAACATAGAATTACATTGTATAAATGTACCACATTTTCTTCATCCATTCATCTACTGAGGGGCATCTGTGTTGGTTCCATATCTTCGCTATGGTGAATAACGCTGCAATAAACATAGTTGTGCTGGTAGCCTTAGTATGGCCTTGTTTGTGATCATTTGGGTAAATACCCAAAGTGGGATTGATGTGTCATAGGGGAGCTCTGTGTGTAGTCTTTTGAGGAACATCCATACTACTTTCCAGAGTGGCTGAACAAGTTTACACTCCCACCAACAATGCAGTAGGGTTCCCTTTTGTCCACATCCCCTCCAGCATCTGTCATTATCAGATTTTTTGACTATAGCCATTCTAACTGGGGTGAGGTGGAATCTCAATGTTGTTTTGATTTGCATTTCTTTTATGGCCAGAGAAGTTGAGCATTTCTTCATGTGTCTACTTGCCATTCCCTGAGACTCTTATCTCCAATTAATTAATCACAAAAAAGCCAGAAGTATTCTGCACAGTGATTCAAGTAGTAGAGTGCCAGCCTTGAGCAAAAAAAGCTCAGGGATAGTGCCCAGGACCTAAGTTCAAGCCCTAGGACTAGTACGCATGCACGCGCGCGCGCGCACACACACACACACACACACACACACACACACACAAGAGGCCTGTGTAGAACAGAGGATAGTCACTTTTCTGTGGCTTCTGGAAATTTCCAGGATCATTTGTGATCTCTTCACTTTGCCTTTGCACTGTGGCTTAGAGACCAGGCCTCAGAGCCAGAATCTGGGATTTTCATATAACTTGATACTTTCTCTGTACTATTGTTTGCCCTCTCTGCCATGGTTTTCCTACCTGTAAGGTCTAGTTGTTGGACTAGTTATAATCGGGCCACAGTGAGGATCATCTGATTCTGTACAATAGAAGGGTTTAGAATTATGCCTTACCTATAATAGGTGCTCAGAAAATGGTTTTCTCACATGTAGTCTAGCCAAGAACTAACCAGGGCTAGAGTATAGGGTTGTTAGCACAGTTAATAAGTTCCAGTGAGACATGGAGACATCTCTGGTATAACCTTTGCCTGACAAGAAGGTGGCTAGGACAGGAGTCTGAGGGAACAGGGCTAGGGGCACATACACAGTGGAAAGTGGGGAGTAGAGCTGTGGCTCAAGTGGTAGAGCACTAGCCTTGAGCTGAAGAGCTTAGGGACAGCACCCAGGCTCTGAGTTCAAGCCTCATAATTGACAGAAAGAAGAAAAAAAAAAAAGAAAATTGCATCCTTTTTTTGCTTGGTGGGAATGAAAGAGAGATCATAATACAACTATGTCAAAAACAAAAGTGACCAGGTTGGCACCAGTAGCCCATGCCTTCAATCCTAGCTATTCGGGAAGTGGAGATCTGAGGATTGTAATTTGAAACCAGCCTGGACAGAAAGTCTATGAGTCTGTTATCCTCAATTAACTACCAAAACCTGGAAATGGAGGAGATACTCAAGTGGTAGATTGAGAATTGAGCAACAAAGCTAAGGTAGAGTGCCCAGGTCCTGAGTTCAGGTCCAAGTACTGGCACACACAAAAAAATGACCAGACCAGTCTGAGAAAATATGTATCAGCTGACCACCACCTTCTCAAAGGCATATTGGAAGATGATGGGGAGTCTAGGGAAGACAGGGACAGGAGGTAGGGGATTGAGCCACACAAGATGAGCTATGCAGTGGGGAAGGACTTAGATGCTAGTGGATGGAGGTCAACAGGGATGTCAGACTTGGTGGAATACATCTCTCTCATCTCTAGGTTTGGGATACCATGTGTCTTGCTGACATCTCAGTGTTTCTACCCTGGAATAGATGCTTGCACCTTGCTAGTTTGCTGGCATGACTGAATTTCACAGCTGGTGGCTGCAGTCTGATGGCTGGAAGGAGGAAACCAGCAGAGTACTGATTGGAAAAGCTGGGGAAGAGCTTCAGGGGAGAACAGGAGTCCTAGTGACAGAGCAAGTCAAGGGGGACCCTTAAAAGGATGTGCTGTAAAAGGCATGCAGGTTTTTCTTATGCGAGCATGGCGGGGTGCTAGCTCCAGCAAGTAGGAGTTTGTAGCTTGGACCAGTGGTGGGCACTGTGGGAGGGGACAGCTTCAGGAAAATGGCTCAGCCACCAGCCACGTGCTTGCTCATCCATGCACTTCTCTGGCTTCGGGTCATTCCAGATAATGGCGTTTCTCCTGAGGAAGAAGACCTTGCTTCTAAACCACCGCGTCTTCCAGCTCATCCTCTCTGTGGCTGGCACTGCGGAGCTGGGCTTCAGGCCATCTGCCATCACCAACATGGGCATCTTCCAGCATATCCTCTGCAGTTTCGAGGTAAAATAGAGATCAGTCCTTAGGTCTTCAGATTGTGTGTGTGTGTGTGAGAGAGAGAGGGGGGTTGAGGAGAGAGAGAGAGAGAGAGAGAGAGAGAGAGAGAGAGAGAGAGAGAATTATAATAAGAAAGAAAGTTGGGTGCTTCCTCTAAGCCCAATGGCTTAGCTCACTTCGTAGTCATGGTGTGGCAGTAAGAGGGAAAAACTAAAATCACAAAAGTTATGGATTTCAGACGTCTGTGTTTATAGTTAAACCATGTTACCTCTAGTTATGTGGCTTGAGCAACTTCCTTGACTTCTCTCTGAGACTCCATTCTTTGGTGTGTGTGTGTGTGTGTGTGTGTGTGTGTGTGTGTGTGTGTGTGTGTGTGTGTGTGTGTGTGTGTGTGTGTGTGTGTGTGTGTTCAAGTCCTAGGAATTAAACTCAGGGGGCCTTGGTGTTCTACTTTCTCTCTCTCTCTCTCTCTCTCTCTCTCTCTCTCTCTCTCTCTCTCTCTCTCTCTCTCTCTCTCCTCCCTCTCTCTCTATTCCTCTCTTCCTCTCTCTCTCTCTCCCTTCCTTCCTTCCTTGGGCTAATGCTCTACCATTTGATCCACAGCTCTACTTCTGGCCTTTTGGAGGTTAATTGGAGATCAGAGTCTTACAGACTTTCCTGCTTGAGCTGGCTTTGGAAGTGCAATCCTCAGATCTCAGCCTCCTGAGTAGCTAGGATTGCAGGCATGAGCTGTCAGTACCCAGCTCATCTTACATGCTTTGGGTCGTAATTTTTCTCACATAGGGAACTTATGTAGGAATTTTCATTACAAACACATGTGCATGCTGAGGTCAGAGTTCCTGGCTTCTTCCCGCTCTTCTCTTGTCAAATTATTAGATCATTCTTTTTTTTTTTTTTTTTTTTTTGTGGTCTGGTCGTGGGGCCTGAACTCTGGGCCTGAGCACTGTCCCAAGGCTAGTGCTCTACCACTTGAGCCACAGCACCACTTCTGGCTTTTTCTGCTTAGGTGGTGCTGAGGAATTGAACCCAGGGCCTCATGCATGCAAGGCAAGAGCTCCACCACTGAGCCAACTTCCCAGCCCCGATCATTCTTTTATTTATCTTTTTTTTTGTGATTATAACAAATGCTACTGTAGACAGCACTTGTGTTTCCCTGTTCCCATGCACTTAAATTTTACTTTCTTTGCTTGACATCAGTGGCCCATGTCTATATTGCTAGCCACTCAGGAGACAGATCTGAGGATTGTAGTGTGAAGCCGGCTCTGGCAGGAGAGTCTATGAGACTCATCTTCAATTAACCAACAAAAAGTTGGAAGTGGGGCTGTGCTTCAAGTGGTAGAGTGCTAGCCTTGAGCACAAAGAAGCTCAGGGACAGTGCCCGGGCCCTGAGTTTAAGGAAAAAGTTGGGGGTGGGGGAGGCAGATGGAAATGGAGAGGAAGAGGGAGATGAAAGAGTGAGAGGAAAAGAAAGAAGGTGAGGGAGAAGGAGCTAGACAGAGAAGTAAAGAGAAAAAAGTGAGGCATCAGCCTATATAGTCTGTGGCTTATAAGGGCTGAAAATCTGTCAGCCTGTTTCTGGCTGAAATGCAATGCACTTCTTTTACATTGCTTTATTTTGCTTTCATTCCTTAAAACAATTGAATTGATCTGTGTTTCATGCCCAATTTGTGACACTGAGCTACTTAAGTCTTGGAGTAGAGAGGGTTGATGAATCCACAGGCTTTCTGAAAAATTCAGGTTCAATGGGACTCTTTTACATTTCCTCCTCCCAAGTGGACACTTGCTTGTTCCAAGTATGGCTGGTAATTGACCCTGTGGTCTCTGTCTGCTGTCCATGTTGAGACATAGAAGTGAGAGAATGAGTTCCAAGTGTGGCTGGTCTGAAGGATCAAACTTGGAGACCAATTTCTGCCAACTGAGTCTCTCTGGACCTCTGTCTCTTTCCCTACTAAATGAAAATGCAGTATTCCCTCCTTGTCTAGGCTTTCCCTTTAGTTAGCCTCTGACTAAAAATATGAACACAAAATTCCAGAAATAATGCATAAAATTAATAAACCTTTTATTACAGTATTTTATTTTATTTTTTGTTGGTCATGGGGCCTCAACTCTGGGCCTGGGTGCTGTCCCTCAGCTCTTCAGCTCAAGGCTAGTGATCTACCACTTGAGCCACAGTGCCACTTCCAGTTTTTTCTGTTTATATGGTTCTGAGGAATCAAACCCAGGGCCTCATGCATGCAGGGCAAGCGCTCTACCACTGGGCCGCCTTCCCAGCCCCTATTACAGTATTTTAATATGATTAACCAATGTGATTATTAGTTGTGATTGTTAATTTCCTATTATGCATAGATAAACTTTATAGATAGATCCTGTATTACTGATCTGTGAGGCATCTAGGAAATGTCTTGTATCTCCCTGTGAATAAAAGATAGCTACTAGCCAGGCACTGGTGGCTCATCCCTGTAATCCTAGCTACTAAGAAGGCTGAGATCTGAAGATCACCATTCCAAGCAAGTCCAGGCAGACAAATCAGTGAGACTCGTATCTCCAATTAATCACCAAGAAGCTGGAAGTAGAGCTGTGGCTCAAGTTATAGAACACCAGTCTTGAGCACAAAAGCTCAGGGACAGTACCCAGGCCCTGAGTTCAAGCCCCAGGACTGGCACTAAATAAATAAATAAAGACAGACAGCTACTTTGATGTCTCTTGAGCAAGAGGTATTGTTGGCACATGTGAGCTATTTATGCTGCCCTGAGTGAGTGTGTTTTTACAACGTTGTGTCAGAACCTTCTATACCTGGGGCCTTCAAAAGAGTCATTATTTTCAGATGAAGAATAATCATGTTCTCTAAAGGATGTAGAAATGGACTAGGAAGTACCACATCTACTCTGCCTAAGTGGGAAGCTTAGCAGTTGCATTTCCCTCGCCAGGCATCATCCACAGACAGTGCACTTCCCATCTGTGTATCATTCACAATTCTCTTATGCAGGAACAGGCAGTGTGGGATGGGATGCAGATTTCACATAGAGGAACCCCAAGACAATGTTACACATAAACGTGTGTCCCATGGAGCACAAAACCTAGCTGCTACTGCCATTCCTGACACTGGCTGAGGTGAACTGGACCTGTCACTCAACCAATGTATCTTGACCTGTGTTTCCTCATCTCAAATAATTCCTACTCCATTATTTGCCCTGCAAAATCCAATGTAGATGACTTGTGTCTAATGTGTGGTCTCCTGGGCTCTGGGACCAGGGCTGGGCAAACAGATGAGATGGCTATACAGGTGTTTTCTGGCCCAGGGGGTCATGTTCTCTATCTGCTGAGTAGTATCAGGAGAGCAAGTCTCAGGCTAGAGCTGACAGTCTTGTTGACTCCTGGCTGGAGATAACACCATACTGTACCCTTCTTCCTTCCAAGCCCTCTTTCTTTCATGCTTTGGAGTGTGTGTGTGTGTGTGTATGTGTGTGTGTGTGTGTGTGACTGTGTGTGCGTGCGTGCAAGTTCTAGAACTTGAGCTCAGGCCACAGGCTCTGTCCCTGAGCTTTTGTTCCCAAGGCTGGCACTCTACCACTTGAGCTACCCCTCCACTTCTGGCTTTTTGGTAGTTAATTGGAGATATGAGTCTCCTGGTCTTTCCTGCCTGGGCTGGCTTTGAACTGCAATCCTCAGATCTCAGCCCTCTGAGTAGCTAGGGTTACAGGTGTAGGCCCCAGGTGCCTGGCTAGTACACCTATGTTGTGTTCTGTCTTCCAGCTCTGGATGAACACTGCAGACAATCTGGAGCTTGCTCTCTTCTCCCATTTTGTAGAAATCCTTCAGTCACCAAGGTAGGCTGGGTTTCAGCAGCCCTGGATTGAGATCTAATGTCTTTATGCAAAGAAAAGAGGCCCAGAGGACAGGACAACCTGTGTATGACTGCAGTCCCAGAGCACCATGTGCTTAGGCTGGACAAGTGGAACAGGACTCTGTCCTCTGACAGAGTCAGGAGAGGAGAGCTTAGAGACTCTGCAGCCCCAGGGGTTCATGCTGACTTCAAGTTCCATGCGTGTGACCAGCAAGGACATCTCACTCCAGTCACATTTTGTCTCCCCTCCCCAACCCTCTTTTTTTTGTGCCCGTCCTGGGGCACAGGGCCTGGGTACTCTCCTTGAATTATTATGATTAATTTTGCTCAAAGCTAGCACTCTACCACTTGAGCCATAGCTCCATTTCTGGCTTTTTTGGTGGTTAATTGGGGATGAGTCTCATGGATTTTATTGCCTGGCATGGCTTCAAATTGTGGTCCTCAGATCTCAGCCTCCTGAGTAGCTAGGATTCTGATGTGAGCCACAAGTACCTGGCTTCCACTTTGTCTCTTGATCTGAGCTTCTCCCAATGACTATTTGGACTCATTCAGGGCTCTTTGGGTTCCAAGTGGGAAAAATGCAAATCTACCAGCTTAAGGCAGGTAGAAAAGGAAGAAGGAAGAAGGGAGAAGAAAGGGGGAGAGGAAGGCAATTCAAAAACAACTTTATGGCCAGGCACTGGTGGCTTATGCTTGTAATCCTAGCTACTGACAAGCTTAAGATCTGAGTATTATGATTTGAAACCAGCTCAGGTAGCAAAGGTCATGAGACTCTTATCTGTAACCATCTAAACACCAGAAATAGAGCAGTGACTCAAAATGGTAAAGTGCTAGCCTTGAGCAACAAAACCTAGGACAGTGCCCAGGCCCTGAGTTCAAGCCTTACAATCAATCAAAAACAAAAAGGACACCAGGGGCTTGCATCAGTGATAGATGATTCTGCATTGAGGCTGGGCAGTGCCTGTGGACATAGCTGAACTCTAACTCCAGTCTGCCTTGCTTCCTTTGACTCTGCTGCCTTTCAGCAGCTTCTCGGAGAGAAGCCTTTGTGGAGCGTGTGCTGTAGGAGCAGGATTTTTGCTTCCCTCCATAGTCCTAGGCTGGGACTGGGTTTCATTGGAGCACGCACAACCATCATACAAGCTATAGCCAGGTTGGAAGCATGGCTTTGCTTATAGAAGCTGGTGATGAGTTAGCTTGAGGTTGCTCCACAGCAGGCCAGGGGCTGGGGAAGTAGAAGGAAATGATGAAGCCTCCTGCTTCCTCACCATCAGGCAGTTCTAGTTCATTGGCATCTGGTTTTTCCTTTTTTTCTTCTTCTTTTATTTATTTTTTTGGTGCTTGTCTTGGGGCTTGAATTCAGTGCCCGAACACTGTCCCTGAGCTTTTGTGCTGAAGGCTAGTGCTCTACCACTTGAACCACAGCTCCACTTGCAGCTATTTGGTGGTTTATTGAAGATCAGAGTCTCAAGGACTTTTCTGCCCAGGTGACTTTCAATCATGATCTTCAGATCTCAGCTTCCTGAATAGCTAGTGGTGAGTGGCGCCCTGGCTTCCTGTTGAGTTCTGAATGCATTTACACACATCTTCCCATTCAGCTTCCTGTTATTGGAAAGCTGATAGAAACCCCACTACATTCACACCCCGTTCACCGTGCTGGACATTCAGAGAAGAGTGAGACCTAGTCCTGTGAAGAAAGGACTTGGAGAAACACAGAGAGGAAAAAAGGAGAGAAAGGCTGTAGCAGCCCAAGCTAGAGAGCCTGGGCCGACATTGCCTGGGGAGCTGTAGTCTTTGGAGGAGGTAGAATTTACTGGAAATTGGATTTGTGACCAGACTAAGTAGGGGGGAGGGCGGCGGGGTGTTGTGGGTATTTGAATTCTCCCTCCCTCCCCTTTGATTCTGTGGCCGGTGGATCCACTTTGTGGTTTGGGGAGGCAGGAAAATCACGTACCCAGACACACCCGTGGAGGACCTCTTGTTGAGAGACACAAGAGGCTCATGTGTGTGTCTGTCTTTGTTCTGAATTTTCTAAGGCCAGTACTCATTTTCCCAAAGGCTTAGAATTTAAGTCAATAATTGGGGTTTGTTTTTGAAGGCAGTTTCCGGCCCAGGGGATGGGTTTGGTGGGGTGGAGGGAGGCACATGCCCCAGTGACTCCGTGCACTTGGCAGACATATTCTCAATGGATGTCTGATGGCATCTTGACAAGCTGCCAAGAGAGCACTGGAGTCAGAAGGCCATAGAACAAACCTAGCTTGGGGGGCGGGGGGAAAACCTTTTTAGCAAAAACACAGCAAATTTGGTTCATTCCAGTAAAAGCTTTTACTGCCTCTTTCCCTGGGTTCTTCAGGGAGGGACCCAGGAATGCTGAAGTTGCTCACCAGGCACAGCTTATACCCAAGCTCATCTTCCTCTTCAATGAGCCTCGCCTGGCCCCCTCCAAGGTCCCTACCATAATTGCCATCCTAGGCTGTCAACTGAGGAGCCACTTCAGTATCCAGGACTTGCTCAGGTACCTTGTCAAACTCCCCTGGGGAAGGGCAGGGCCCCAGGACTGCTTCCCAAGGGAGTATAGACCCAGTCCTCCTCCTCCTCCTCCCCCTCCTTCTCCTCCTCTTCCTCCTCCTGCTCCAGCATGCTCTCTCTCTCTCTCTCTCTCTCTCTCTCTCTCTCTCTCTCTTTCTCTCCCCCACCCCCCCAAGGGAGCTTAGACCTAGCTCACTCTCTCTCTGTCTCTTACTCTTTCTACATATTTAATCTAACATGTTTAGGAATCCCCTAAAAGTTTGTTTTGGGCTGAGAATTAGGAGAAAGGTGCGATGTCTTGTAAAGAGGCTGGGTTCCCTCATCAGAGATTTGGTCCACTGCCCCGTGGTGTGGGATGGTTCTACTGTGCCTGGAATGGAAGCATGTTCAAGAACATAGCAGTCCTTGGTGGCTGGTGGTTGTCCACCTCTGCCTCCTGCAGACCTCCCCTTCCTCAGACAGTCCCAGCTCACACCACACCCAGCCCCTCCTTTCTCCCCCCATCTGATCTACAGGAGCCAGAATTAACATCTCCAATGAATTTTGACCCATTTTAGAAGTCTCTGGAAGTGCTGTGTGCGTCATAGAATTACACAATGTCCCTTACACTGAGGCTAAAAAGGTGAAAAATTAGGCAGATAAGCAGAGACCATGACCAGTGGAGATAACACACCCTCCTTTTCTTGAAGACGGTGGCCCATTGGAACCAAAGATCCTGGGAAAGCAGAGACAACCAGTGGAGACCATGGGCCTTCCCCTTCCCAAAGACCTCAGAAGACGGTGACAATCGCTCTGATGAGAGCAAAGTTGCTGATGAGGCTAGAGCAGATCAGCACAGGGGACCGGCACCCAACTAGATGGTAGGACAGCTGAGAGTCACCAAAAGGGCTGCAAAAGAGAGGCCCGGAGAGCCTATAGCAGCTGCTGATTTCTGGGCCCTACTCTGTACTTGCTGCTGCTTCCTCCTCTCCCCCCTTCCTCTTCCCCCTCCTCTCCTCTCCCTCCTCCTCCCCTTCCTCCTTCTCCCCCTCCTTCTCCTTCTCCTTCTCCCCCTCCTTCTCCTTCTCCTCCCCCTCCTTCTCCTTCTCCTCCTCCCCCTCTTCCTCCTCCCCTTCTTCCTTCTCCCCCTCCTTCCCCTCCCCATCCTTCTCCTCCTTTTCCTCCTCCTCTTCCTCTCCCTCCTACCCTTCCTCTTCCTTCCCCCTCCTCTTCTTCTTCTCTTCTCTTTCTTGCTCTTCTTCCTCATCCTCTTTCTCCTCCTCCTTCCATCTTCTCTTCTCTTTCTTGCTCTTCTTCCTCATCCTCTTTCTCCTCCTCCTTCCCTCTCCTCTTCTTTTTCCTCCTCCTCCTCTTCCTCCTCCTCTTCCTCCTCCTCCTCTTCCTTCCCCCTTTCTTGGGAAGCAGGTGGGAAGTGCTCACATGGTACAGGGTGACCCTCCTAGTTGGGAGTCCAGGTTAGGGGCTTACATTATCATGCCAGTAGCTCCGTTGCTTTTCCTCAGTTTCTCTCAGCATCTTACTCTCCTTTTCCAATCAACTTTGCCTCTACTCCCACTTTTCCCAATTCACAATTCTTTATTTGGCGAGGAGAAAGAATAAGATCCCCTGGTCAGTATCATCCCCCCACTCCCAAAACCCCATGGAGTGGATTGTGGAGAAGACACTAATATGTGCTCCACAGGTATGGCTGAGGCCACCACCGAGCCTTTTCTTGTCTTCCTGTCGCCTGCAGGGTTGGGCTGTTTGTCATTTACACCCTCAAGCCTTCATCAGTGAACGAGAGACAGATCTGTGTGGATGGAGGCCAGGACCACCATGTGCCTGGTGAGAGTGTATTTCCCTAACCCCAGTCTGAAGGTGACAGGATGAACCTCCCAGTGTTTGGAGGCATGCATTGTTGGGGGGTGTGAGCCCCATGGCTGAGGCTGCATCTGGGAGGCTGAAGATTACCATGAGAGTCACAAATGACACCAATGGGTTCACTCCTGCTTGAGCGTCCTTGGCAGCAGTCAACTCCCTGCATGTGAGACCCTGCCGCCTTTCTATGCTGAACCCCATTAACTCTCAGTGCCCACAACACATCCAAAATGTAATGTTATCAAGCTTCTGTCCATGATGTGGGCATGGGAGGCCATGTCCCTAACTCCTAACTTCTCTACAAAAGTAGCCATTCATTCCCAGCCCTACAAACTTCTAAAGCCCCTTGGGCTTCTTGTAATACACAGATTTGTGATGCCTGCCTGCCTGCCTGCCAGCCTTCCCTCCCTCCCTCCCTCCCTCCCTCCTTTCTTTCTTTCTTTCTTTGTTTCTTTGTTTCTTTGTTTGTTTCTTTGTTTCTTTGTTTCTTCCTTTCTTTCTTTCTTTCTTCTTTTTTTTCTTTCTTTCCTAATGTGAGGGTTGAACTCATGGCCTAGGCATTGTCTCTGAGTTTTTTTTTAGCTCAAGGCCAATGTTCTACCACTTGATCCATAGCTCTACTTCTGACCTTTTTGGTGCTTAGTTGGAAGTATAAGTCTCACAGACTTTCTTGCTTGGGCTGACTTTGAGCCATGATCCTCAGATCTCCGCACCTGGGTAGCTAGGATTACAGGCATGAGGCACAGGCACCAGGCTAGAATTCATTTCTGAGTCACTCTCTCTCTGCTTGGATGCATAGAATAACCTTATCCATGTTAATGCTCCCCTGTCCGCTAAGGTGATCCATGGGGGACCTCTACAAGCCACTAGCCACATGTAGCCTTTTAAATTTGAATTTTAATTAATTAAAATCATATAAAATTTGGGCCAGGATTGGTGATACACACTTGTAGTCCTAGCTGAGCAGGAAACAGGGGTAGAAGGATCACAGTTTCAGGAAAAATTGTAAGGCTTTTTCTAAGAAGAAAGGAAAAAAAGAAAAACCTAAAAGCAAAAGGGGCTGGGAACATGATACAAGTGGTAGAGCGCTTGTTTATCTTTGGATGTGCTGAGTTCAAATTCCAAAACTGGAACTCCCCCCCCCCACACACACCAAAAAAGGCTTCTTACATGAGCTAGACACCCATAGCTCATGCCTGTAAACCTAGTTTCTTAGGAGGCTGAGATCTGAGTATCATGGTTCAAAGCCAATCTGTTCAAGTAAGTTAATGAAACTCTTATCTCCAATTAACCACAAAAAAAGCTGAAAGTGGAGCTGTGGCTCAGGTGGTAGAGTGCTAGCCTTGAGCAATAAAAGCTAAGGGACAACACAGAAGCCCTGAGTTCAAACCCAATTACTGGCAGAAAGAAAGATACTTATATGCAATTAAAAGTGCAATTTCTCAAACTACCTACATTTTTTTTTGGGGGGGGGGTCCAGTCGTGGGCCTGAACTCTGGGACTGGGCGCTGTCCCTCAGCTCTTCAGCTCAAGGCTAGCGCTCTACCACTTGAGCCACAGCGCCACTTCCAGCTTTTTTCCTTTTTGCTTATGTGGTGCTGGGGAATCGAACCCAGGGCCTCATGCATGCAAGGCACGCGCTCTACCACTGAGCCACCTTCCCAGCCCAAACTATCTATATTTTGAATGTGAGATGACCACATGAAAATATTGGCCACTGAGCTGAATAGGGCAGGTCTGAAATAGTCTGACCATCATGAAAGATTCTTGGGGACATCTTTATTCAGATAAGTTATCCTAAGACAAAGCCTCAAAACATCAATTATTATTTCCATTTTGCAGATGAGGAAATGGAAGCTCAGATTATGGTTTTAATCAGAGATGGAGCCAAAACTCAAAAGAGGGAGACTCCAGTGCTACTTCTTCAACTTGCTTCAGAAGTCCAACCTCATGTCAGGAGCCAGTGGCTCACACCTATAATCTTAGCTACTCAGGAGGCTGAGATGTGAGGATCGTGGTGTGAAGCCAGCCCTGGCAGGAAAGTCTGTGAGACTCTAATCTCAACAAAAGCAAGAAGTGGACCTGTGGCTCAAGTGAGCACTAGCCTTGAGCAAAAGAAGTTCAGGGATAGCACTCGGGCCCTGAGTTCAAGTCCCAGGACCAACACAAAAACAAAACAGAACAAGCCCCAAAACAACCATTATTTTTTATTTTTATTTTTTTGGTTGTGGGGCTTGAACTCTGAGCCTGGGTGTTGTTCCTCAGCTCTTCAGCTCATGGCTAGTGCTCTACCACTTGAGCCACAGTACCACTTCCGGTTTTCTGGTGGTTTTTATTGGAGATCAGAGTCTCATGGACTTTCCTGCCCGGGCTGGCTTTGAAGCACGATCTTCAGATCTCAGCCTCCTGAGTAGCTAAGATTACAGGCGTGAGCCACCAGCACCCAGGCAAAATGACCATTCTTAATGGCGCTTGAAGAGTCAAATTTCTTTCCCTACTGGTTTGTGTGTGTCTCCAGTATAATATATGTTCTGATTTCAGTGTAATACAGGCGTGCAGAGCACAAGCTTAGAAGCCAAAATAGGGCTGGGAAGGTGGCTCAGTGGTAGAGCGCTTGCCTTGCATGCATGAGGCCCTGGGTTCCATTCCCCAGCACCACAGAAGCAAAAAGAAAAAAAGCCGGAAGTGGCGCTGTGGCTCAAGTGGTAGAGCGCTAGCCTTGAGCTGAAGAGCTGAGGGATAGCGCCTAGGCCCAGAGTTCAGGCCCCACTACTGGACCCAAAAAAAAAAAAAAAAAATAGAAGCCAAAATAAGGCCAGAACCAAAAGAATAAATGTGATAGACTTTTTGCAGCTCAGTTTTTCTCTTAATTGGTGATCAAGAAATGTTGGCTGTCAAAAATAATTCTACCTGTGAGGCTCTGGTAACTCATGCCTACAGTTTTAGCTGCTCAGGAGATTAAGATCTGAGGAAACAAATTCAAAGCCAGCCTGGCAGGAAAGTCTATGAGACTCTTATCTCCAGTTAACCACCAAAAAGGAAGTTGATCTGTGGCTCAAGCAGTAGATCACCAGCTTGAGTGAAAAAGCCAAACAAGGGTCTGAGGCCCTGAGTTCAAGCCCCCAGTACTCTCTCTCTTTCTACCTCCCTCTCCCCCCTCTTTCTATCTCTCTCTCTCTCTCTCTCTCTCTCTCACACACACACACACACACACACACAAATTCACTGAAAGATAAATTTGACTTTATAATTTTTAATGAGTTTTCTTGGGGATAAGCAGCATTAAAATCATCTCTAGTTTAAAACAACGACAAAAATTAATCTCTAGTGTAAAAGGAACTTTAGGAACATTTCCTGGAATTTGTTTTTAAGCATTGCATTGACAGTCTGCATTTGAGTGCCCCAATTCCTGAGTAAACTAAGCTTTTGATAATTATGATTGCTTACTAAAGCAGATATTATATCTCTTTACATTTGTTTTCTTTCAAATCTGAATTCTGAATTCCCCCCCCCCCCTCTCTCTCTCTCTCTCTCTCTCTCTCTCTCTCTCTCTCATTTAGCTGGAAGCCAAACATCTGGAAATTCAATCTGGCTCAGAAACCAGTTGCTGGAGATGCTGCTCAGTGTAATATCTTCTTCCCAGCTTCATCTGTCCTCTGAGTAAGTAGCTCCAGGAAGAGTGATTTGGCATGAAGCTCTGTTATACAGGGTGCAGTACTGTGGTATTACAACCTTTCCTTAATGAAAAGTTAAGCATCTGAGTCTGTTTGCAATGTGTTTTCCTATACTATTCTGAAGAAAATGATATTCTCTCCACCCAATAAACCAGACTTTGCCCTAAGATAGATGTCTAGTGGAAATATTCAGTGAGTATGGGGAACTAGAAACAGCGTCAGTATAATTTCAAGAAGTTCTTTCGTTACTATTGCGATTATGTGATTGTTATTGTTCTGGCAATGGTGACAATTACTAACTTCAATGCCTTATGCTTGTCAGACAGCAGAATGGGAGAAATGGATAGACCAGATAACATCTACCAAGGAGAAGCCTCTCCAGACTTTTTTTTTTGGCCACTTTCTATTAGTGCTTTAATATTCTGAACTGGGGAAAAAAAGAAATATCTCTCTTTAATTAACTTCCTAGTAACATGTAATTATGAAACTCATTCCGTTAACTTCCTTCTTCCTATTGCATGCCTACAACCTAGAGTTAGTCATATAATACTCATTTGCTGAGCACCTATAGGTGAGTGTGCATGTGTGTTTGGGGTGCAGGTGGATAGTTACTCTGCAGTAAAGCAGAGGTTGAAAATTCACCAGTGTACACATCTTTTCATTCTTAAAATCTGAATGCAATGAAACTGGAAGAGGCTGTAGAGACCAATGATTCTGGTCCTTTCCTTTTCCATCTCTTTGGAAGATAATGTACTACAGTGCTGGGTCCTGGTCCTGTCCTATACCTGGAACCTAGTTCTCAATCTTCTGGGATGGAATGAATCCCAGCTCTGTCCTCAAGGGACCCGGAGAGGTTATGCAAGCCAGGTCTCTATTCATCTATATGACAATAAAAATAGTATCTTCAGCCAGGTGCCTAGCTACTGAAGAGGCTGAGATCTGAGGATCAAGGTTCAAAACCAGCTTGGGCAGGAATGTCTCTGAGACTTACCTCTGATTATCGAGCAAAAAGCTGGAAGAGGAGCTGTGGCTCCAATGGTAGCGCTTTAGCCCTGAGCAAAAACAAACAGAGCAAAAACAAACAAAGCCCTAGAGATAATACCCAGGCTCTGAGTACAAGCCCCAGTACCAGCACACTGCCTAAAAATTATCTTTCATAAGTGGATGTGATGAGGATTAAATGAATTAATTATATGGAGACAATCCCAAAAAACGGTGCCTATGATACTATAAAGACTATAAGCTAAAAAAAACAAAGAGACTATAAGCTCACTCCTATGGTCACTATTATCACCACCGGCATCACCGGCATTTCCACTACCATCACCACCACCATTTCAGCATCATCATCACCATCACCACAGTCACTATTACCATCGTCAATATCACCATTACCAACCAAATCATCGCGGAGCAAAATGACCAGAGCACGTCGGAAGCTCTTCCAAAGCCACTTAGTCAGTACACACCAGAGGCAGAGCGAGAAGAGAGGACAGTTTCTTCATTCCCCCTCCAGTTCTCACTCTAGCGGACCCTGGCTCCCCACTCACCACAGCTGCTCTGACTGCTGATGGGGAGAACACTGCTCAGCACAGATGCAACCCTCGTGGCCCCCGGAGGATCAAGGCCATAACCCAGGCCACCATCTTTCCTGGACTGTCTGCCCACCTCCTGCCATCCAGCTCCCTCCAGCAAGTCTATTTTCCAGATAAATCCTTCCAAAAATACATCTTATGTTTTGGTCTGAGACTGGGATTTAAACTCAGTACCTGTTTCTTTTGCTCATTGGCTAACACTCTACCAATTGAGGCCTGCCTCCAACCTCTAAAAATAATTTTTGAAAGTGGTAGTTTATCATGTTTTTTCAACCTATGCTGATATAGATACATAAATTGGCTGGTTCCAATTAGTTTTCACCAGTCTCTTTAAAAACAAGGGTAAACGGGCTGGGAAGGTGGCTCAGTGGTAGAGTGCTTGCCTTGCAAGCATGAGGCCCTGGGTTCCATTCCTCAGCACCACATAAGCAGAAAAAGCTGGAAGTGGCGCTGTGGCTCAAGTGGTAGAGCGCTAGCCTTGAGCTGAATTGCTGAGGGACAGCGCTCAGGCCCAGAGTTCAGGCCCCACGACTGCCAAAAATAAATAAATAAATACATAAATAAAAAATAAAAACAAGGTTAAGCAAATATTAACTGTTTTATGACTTCAGAAGTGGTGATTATATTAGATGGGTGCCATTCCTGCACGATGTGAATGTGAACGGTAGCAGAATAAGAGGGCCTATCATATTCTTGTGTTTAATGATGTAAAGTTCCCAATGGTTCTGAGACAGCGATCTTGATCCTGCCAGCACCTTTTTAAGGTAAACATAGTGAGTTTATTTGAAAGTGAAAGGAAAGCTGCAAAGGAAAAGTAGTAAGATTCTCCTGTCAGGGAGGGTCCTCCAAAAAGGGTTCAGTGGCGCCCTCTGGGAGGGCAGTTATTATATATAGTACAGGGCTCCTCCCACATCTCTCCTGGGCTTTGCCTCACTTCTTGATGACCAGTGCAAGCTCAGCCCTGACGCTTCCATTAGTTGAGCAGGCACCCAAGGCATTATGGGAAAAAGCAGCATTTGAGCGGGAACCTGAGGCACCATGGGAACAAGGAAGCACCAAGATGTAGTGTGTATATTACTGGGTGCTGGCCAAAGGCTTCATTAACTTGCCTTTTCTGCATCACTTGTGAGGCAGCGCAGGAATTCTTTTCTGGACAGGTCATTTGCTCAGGGACTGAGAGATAACTAATGGCATGTCCTGACTTCCCCCACCAGGACAAAGGAAGAGCTGTTTCTGAACTTGGGGCCCGACTGGTTCCTGCTGCTCCTGCAGGGCCACCTGCACCCCAGCACCACTGTGCTGGCTCTGAAGCTGCTGCTGCACTTCCTGTCAAACCCCTGCCTCCGGGGGCGGTTTAAAGATGGCCTGTCTGCTGGATCCTGGGTGGAGCGCAGCACCGAGGGTGTAGACATTTTGATGGGTGAGCAAGGGGTTGTTGCCAAGAAGGGAGATTGAGCCAGCCCTTTCCCACTGGAGACCTGTCTAGCCTATATAATAAGTTCACCTTGATCCCGTCTTCAAGGCCTGCCCCCTGGCTCTCCTCTGTAGCCTATTGGGTTTTTAGCACCTGGAGTCTGTGTTTACCTCATCCTAACACTTCACTGTTTCCTCTTTCTGAGGCCCCTGTCCTGCCAGATCTGTATTCTTCTTTCAGGCCTGGGTTCAAATGCTACTTCCTCCATGTCAGGAGGGGCCCTGTGTTAACTACCTCTGCTCCCCTCTATACTTATTACAGTTCACAAGCCCTGTCAGCTTCAGGAGCACCTAGAATCCTGTGCATCTTTGTACAGGAATCCCATTTTCCCAATTATAAATTGTCTGCTTGCCTCTTGCTTAGTTGGCATGAAGTATTTTTTTTTTCTGATCATGGGGCTTAAACTCAGGGCCTGGGCATTGTCCCTGAGCTCTTTTGCTCAAGAATAGAACTCTAACACTTGAGCATAGCTCCATTTCTGATTTCTTTTTGGCATAATTGGAGACAAGAGTCTCACAGACTTTCCTTCCTGGGTTGACGTCTCTTTTTTTTTTTTTTTGGGTCTAGTCATGGGGCCTGAAACTCTGGGCCTGGGCGCTGTCCCTCAGCTCTTCAGCTCAAGGCTAGCACTCTACCACTTGAGCCACAGTGCCACTTCTGGCTTTTTTCTTTTTGCTTATGTGGTGCTGAGGAATCGAACCCAGGGCCTCTACCACTCTACCACTGAGCCACCTTCCCAGCCCCATCCCTGGTTGTCTTCTAACCTCAATCCTCAGATCTCAGCCTTTTGAGTAGCTAGGATGGCACAAGTCATTGATACTCAGTAAGCATCTATGTTTGCAGAATGAATAAGAAGAAAATGAATGTAGGAACAAGAAAGGAGTTACGGTTGAGAACTTTCTTACTATCTTGGTGTGCCATCTATTTCTATCTGGTGTTTCTGTAGTGGTTTCTGGTAGTGGGAGGTGACCACTGTTTACCTTAATTGGAAGTGATTGCTCTGTCTTGGGATTTTATCTCCTCCTACTGATCAATAGACAACCTGAAGAGCCAAACTACCATGCCCAACCAGAGTCCCTGCCTGCTACCTGGGTTCCGCGTCCTGAACGAATTTCTGGCTCACCATGTTCATATTCCAGAAGTCTTCCTCATTGTGTCTGCCTTCTTCCTACACACTCCACTCACAGAGCTGGTGGATGAGCCAAAAGTAGGTTTGATGGTGAAAGAGCACACTTGTTTTTCTTTTATGTGTGTGTGTGTGTGTGAATGTGTGTGTATGTGTGCCCAAGTACTACTAGGATTTGAACTCAGGGCCTTGTGCTTTCCCTTGGCTGTTTTGCTCAAAGCTGACACTGTACCACTTGAGCCATACTTCTTCTGTCCTTTCAGTTTCTTCATATATAGATATAGATAGATATTATAGATCTATTGCTCTATGTATCTGTCTCTATCTATCTATCTATCTATCTATCATCTATCTATCTATCTATCTATCTATCTATCTATCTATCTATCTATCCATCCTAGAGCTTGAATCCAGGGCCTGGGTGCTGTCCCTTAGCTTTTTTGCTCAAAGCTAGCACTCTACCACATGAGCCACAGATCCACTTCCAGATTTTTGCTAGCTACTTGGATATAAGAGACTTAGGGACCTTTCTGCCAGTCAAAGGCAGTCTTTGAACTCCAGCTTCAGATCTCAGGCTTCTGAGTAGCTAGGATTACACACTTGAGTCACCAGCACCTAGCTCTACTTACCCTTTACTCATGAACCATAAGTACATTAAATTATGTCCTCTGTATAACCAGATGTTGTCCTTTGACTCCGTTCCTGGCTAACTGATATTTCCCCTCTGCTTTTTATTTTTGTGCCAGTCCTGGGGCTTGAACTCAGGGCTTGGGTGCTGTCCTTGAGCTTTTTGTTCAAGCCTAGCCCTCTACCACTTGAACCACAGTTTTACTTCTGGCTGTTTTTTCCTTTTGCTGGTTAATTGAAGCCAAGTGTCTCATGTTCTTTTCTGCCTGGGCTGGCTTTGAACCAGGATCCTCTGGTCTCAACTTCCTGAATAGCTAGAATTATAGGTATGAGCCTCTGGCACCCCCCTCCATACTTTTAAAAATTACTTTTCAGGGCTGGGAAAGTGGCTCAAGTGGTAGAGTGCTTGCTTTGCATGCATGAGGCCCTGGGTTCCATTCCTCAGCACAATAAGCAAGAAAAGCTAGAAGTGGCGCTATGGCTCAAGTGGTAGAGTGCTAGCCTTGAGCTGAAGAGCTGAGGGATAGCACCCAGGCCGAGTTCAGGCCCCATGACAGACCTCCCAAACAATACTTTTCAGCCCTTCTTTGGCCAACTGTTCCCAAAGAATGTTCACCCTTAGCATACAGATCACCTCCCATCCCTGTCCTGGCTCACTCAAACCAAGCCCAAGTTGTTGTTGGTTTTTATTCCTGCAGGACCAGACAGCATCAAGATCCCTTATGTTTGGGTGCCTGACTTGCCTCTCTAACCTGACTCCAATTCATCTGCCCTTCATACCTTTACCCACTGAGTCCTCTGCCTGATAAGACCATCCGCTCTATACTCATCTGCCCTGAGCCTTTTCGGATTGTTTTTTCCTATTGTAATCTGCCCCAAGATTCAGCTCCATGTGACATCCTGTGGAAAACCCTAGACACTTCCTCCTTTGTGCTTCAGTGTTCTTTACCTTAGGAAGTGAGCACCTGAAAGACAGGCTGTCTTCCTTCATTTTTCTTGGGCATCTGAAAAATATAAGACTTTGAAATTGTTTCTTGGTCTTACACTGAACTGAATCACATTCACCTCTTTTGACCTTTGATCAATCTGATATACACTGACAGATTATAGATCATCCTTCAAAATAATATGCTATGTAGACCTGAATTTCTATTTTTCTCTGAATGGCAAGAGACAAATATCTGCTGAGTGTCAAGACATGTAAGAGATGTTTACGTATTGTATTTTGATATTTAAACAGTCCCATGGGTGTAGATAATGGGAGTTTTCATTTCGTAGAGAAGGAAATGGAGCTGCCAAGCAGCTGAATAGCGTGCTTGGGCTATTAAAAGGGCAAAGTCAGTCCTGATTCCAAATTTGTGCTCTTCCCTCTAGCCTGTACTCTTCCAGCTCCTTGAATGCTTCCTAAGTGTTACATAATCTCTTACCAAATTTCATTAGACTTGATTAAGACATTGAATCATTGTAAGAGTAACCTAAACAGCCAACCTTTTGTAAAACCTGGGTTAATTAAATTAATTGTTATCTTTTGGTGCTGAGGATTGGACCCAGGGCCTCACACATGCTAGGCTTATACTCTGAACCACACCCCAGTCCCTAAGAGTCAGACTTGCTGTAAGTTGCTACTTAGTCTTCAGCAACATCTTGGAGGTGTGTGTTTCTCTTACATGCCATCCGCTGGGGGGAGTTTTCCATATGGGCTGATGGCATGGAGGGTTCTGGCAACAAAGCAGATGCCTTGGTGAGCAGCCCCAGACCTCCTTACAGCCCCTGTTCCTCTTTCAGGACAGCCTCGATGCTATGCTTCAGTGGCTCCTGCAGTCACACCACCAGCAAGAAGTCCTCCAGGCTGGGTTATGCATGGAAGGTGCCCTGATGCTCCTGGAAATGTTGAAATCCATCATGAGCCAGGTGGGAACCCATTTATGCTGTACCAGAAGGTCCTGATGGCAAGAAGAGTTTGGAAAGGTCATCTCGACTTTTCCCAGTATCTTCCCAGCATTTGTCCATTTTCCGTTGCTATGACAAGCCGCATGAGGCTATGTGATTTATAAAGCATAGAGGTTTAAGGCTGGGAAGGTGGCTCAGTGGTAGAGTGCTTGCCTGGCATGCATCAGGCCCTGGGTTCGATTCCTCAGTACCACATAGCAGAAAAAACCGGAAGTAGTGCTTGGCTCAAGTGGTAGAGTGCTAGCCTTGAGCTGAAGAGTTGAGGGACAGTGCCCAGAGTTCAGGCTATATGAAAGACAAAAAAAAAAAGAATAGAGATTTATGTAGCTCACAGTTCTAGAGGCTGGGAAGTTCAGGAGCATGGGGCCAACATCTGCTCAGTGCCTTTGTGTTTCCTTATAACACAGTAGTGGCCAGCAATGGAAGACAGAGCAAGTATGCTAGCTGTGGTCTCTTCTTTCAGGCCACTAATGCCATCCCAGAGGCCTTACCTTCACGACTTCATTTAACTATTGCCTAATGACCCAGCCTCCAGACACCTTTAACAACCTATGAACTACTAAGAGTCGCATTCAAACCCTAGCAGCATCATTAAAGGTGAAGAAACTACTTCCCAGGAATGATTTAGGTGAACAAAGGACCTTAGAGTACTTTCACTGAGAGATACCTGTTTCTCCTTTGTTTAAACATTTCTCTTTGTTCAAAGAGAGCAATTTTGGGAAGATGTGATGCTCTACTTCATAAGCCATGCCCCCAGCCCTTTTGGCTTTAGTTATTTTTTCACATATGTGCTTGAGTCTGTCTGGACTACGATCCTAAAATTTCCCTTTGTTGTTTGGCCACATCCAGCTTCTTATTGGTTAAGAGAGGATCGGACCAACTTTTTGTCCAGGCTGGCCTCAATTTGAGATCTTCCTGATTTCTACTGCTTGAGTAGCTAGGATTTTTGGCATTTTTGAGGCCACTGTGCTTCCAGAAGGACATTTCGGAGGGCAAAGAAGGGCTTCTCCTGTTATTTTTAAAAATTTATTATTATTATTATTATTGTTGTTGTTGTTATTTGTCAGACCTGAACTCTGGGCCTGGGCACTGTTCCTCAGCTCTTCAGTTCAAGATTAACACTCTACCACTTGAGCCATAGCGACACTTCTGGCTTTTTCTACTTCTGTGGTGCTGAGGAATGGAACCCAGGGCCTCATGCATGCCAGGCAAGCACTCTACCACTGAGCCACCTTCCTAGCCCAGGGCTTCTCCTTTTAGGGAGGTTACCTCCACCAACCTTTCCCTGCAGTGACATGTGTGTGGTAGAGATCCTAGAGAAGGCAAGTGGCCACCAGCTACAGATAGGGCACAGAGAGAGAGGCTTCTGGAGAGAATAATTATTCAAAGTCACTGGAGATGGGTGGGCGGGGCATTTTAGACATGGAGGCAAGTGTGAAGGGTGAAGGCCATGTGGCCTATGAAAGAGAGTAGAGTGACACAGGAGGGGATAGGGCAATGTGACTGTGCATGAGAGGCTGAAAAACTCAACTTTATTCTGAAGAGAGCAAGGGCGATTGGAAGCCTACAACAAGACAGATCCTTGTGCCGCTGTGTGCTTCTGATTGGCTGGCCTGTGGCTGTCTGCATGTATTGATATATGGATGGCACTATAAATAATGCATCTTTTTTTAAAAAAAAATTGTGCCAGTACTGGGGCTTGAACTCAGGGCCTCATGATCTCCCTGGCTTTTTCACTCAAGACTGACACTTCTCATTTGAGCCATCCATTTCCAGCTTTTTGCTAATTAATTGGAGACAAGAGTTTCTAAGTTTCCCATTGGAGACTCCGGTTGGTTAATTGGAGATAAGAGTTTCATGGACTTTTCTGTCCCATCTGGCTTCAAACCTTGATCCTCAGTTCTCGGTCTCTTGAGTATCTAGGATTACAGGTGTGAGCCACCAGCACCTGGCTATCAGTCACTTGTCTTATTACAAGTCTCCAGAAGATCTTCCTGCTGGAGTCCAGTTCCTCTAGCTCTGTCTGAAAGCCCCAGCCGTACTGCTGTCACCGTATCTTGTATCTCACAAAGCTTGTCCTTAGCCCTCAGTAGGTTTGGAGGACGACGCCTGGGAGCTGACCTTCCCCACCAGCACGCTGCAGTTCCTCACCCTGGTGCACCGCACCTACCCGCAGGACCCCACGTGGCGGGCCCCGGACTTCCTCCAGACCTTGGCTATGGTCACCTTTCCCCTGGGAACCCAAAAGGTAGGACAGGGTATCTCCCTGCCTTAGGGAGAGCAAGGGTGAATTTCATCATTCTTCACAGATGAAGGGCTAAATCTCCCTTTTCCCCTCCCCCACAAAGTTAAAATACACATTCAGCAGCTTGACTGGAACACTGAATACTCAGCATGGGTCGTTTTCCTTTTCTGGGCTGAGATGTAGCTCAAGGTCATTTTCAGCTCTGACACTCGATAATTTTGTTGTGTTGTTAGGAATCTCCTTAATGAGAAATGGGATAGTCGCTGGGCACTGGAGGTTCATGCCTATAATCCTAGCTACTCAAGAGGCTGAGACCTGAGCGTCATGGTTCAAAACCAGCCTAGTGAGGAAAATCTGTGAGTTGGTTATCTCCAATTGGCCACCAAAAAGCCAGAAGTGGAGCTATGACTCAAGTGGCAGAGTGCCAACCTTGAACAAAGATGCTCAGGGACAGTGCCCAGGCTCTGGGCTCAAACTCTAAGACTGGCACACACACACACACACACACACACACACACACACACACAGGGTGATAGTAGATTGAGTCTGAATCTATACAGAACACCCATGCAGTGGTAACTTGAGGCAGGTAACTCCATTCCAGGAGTCTCTTGCATGTACACCCTACAGGGGACAGGCTGTGTTGTGTTCTGCTGAGCTTTCCATTCTCAGCACCCTTGTCCTGACTGTAGGTTCCTAGGGATGTGACTAGGGCCTCCTTCCAGGCAGTGAGTTTCCGGTGTTTTTATTTTTATTTTTAGTGTGTGTGTGTGTGTGTGTGTGTGTGTGTGTGTGTGTGTGTGTGTGTGTGCGTGCACATGCCAGTAGTGGGGCTTGAACTCAGGGCTTCATATTCTTGCTTAGCTTTTTCCAGCTCCAACCTGGCACTCTACCACTTCAGCCATACCTTTATGTCTGGCTTTTTTTTTTGTTGTTGTTGCTAGTTAATTGGAGAAAAGAGTCTCTTGCTTTTTGCCTGGGCTAGCTTCAAACTGTGACCCTCAGATCTCAGCCTCCTGAGTAGCTAGGATTACAGCTGTGAGCACCTAGCTTAGGCAGTGAGTTTCTAAAGGCCCAGTTCAGAGTCAGATGAGCCAAGAAAAGGGGTATAGAAGGACTCACCTGGAGCTTAAGGTCAAGGTCTTGGGTATTCTATGCTTGGGGCTAGAGAAGGGAATTTGGGAAGCTGTGTGAGTTGGGGGCTAATAGCCAATCCCAGCAGACCAGGGATGGCCAAGTAAGGGCTGTCTGGGAGTTTAAATGTGACGCAGAAATGAGAGCAGGAGAGGAGTACTGGAGTTGGTGATCAGGTGCAGAAGGGGAAGGTACAGAAAACGACACGTCTGCCCCTGCCCTCCTGGACCAGGGACAGAGAAGAAGCTAGTAATATCTGTCTGAAAATCAGTAATGGTAGCTAGAGGAATGCATTCCGAAGACAATTTTCATGGTATATATATATGCATGTGTGGGGACTTACGATCCAAGAGAATCGCAGAGCTGGGCATTAATCATTTGCTATGTTATCAAACGAATGAATGAAAAACTTATTCATTCCTAAAGTTTATCAATAGCAGCAGCACCTGCCTCTTGAGCCCAGGCCTGGACCCAGTGCTTTAATGTAACCCCAGTAGTACTCAATGAAGGTGTGTGGGCAATGAGCTTTGAAGAGACAATGCTCAGTGTCTTTGAGTCATAAGGCCATCCTACAGAATGCTGTGCTATATCTCCTACAATCAGTAGGTGACCCAAAGCTTATGTCCTTTCCATTATGGCAGTTATAAAATTAAATATTCAAGTTAAGTGCTGATGGCTTATGCCTTTAATACTAGCTACATAGGGGAAGGAGGTCTGAGACTCAGACCTGGTTTGAAGCCAACCCAGGCAGGGGAAAGTCCATAAAACTTTTTCTCCAATTAAGCAAGAATAAGTTAGAAATGGAGCTGTGGCTCAAGAGGTGGATTGCTAGCCTTGAGTGAAAAAGCTAAGGGACAGTACCCGGGTCCTGAGTTCAAGCCCCAGAACTGGCACACAAACAAATTAAATAGTCAAAATTTAAGAGTCCAGGCATCTCTCTGTATCTTTGGGGTCTGTACCTGAGAATTCAATCAACTTTGAAAGAAAACATTAAAAAAATTTGGTCTAGACTGAACATGTACAGATACTTTCTCATTATCATTTCCTAAACAACACAGTGTATGCCGGGTGCCGGTGGCTCATGCCTGTAATCCTAGTTACTCAGGAGGTTGAGATCTGAAGATCACAGTTAAAGCCAGCCCAGGCAGAAAAGTCTTTGAGATTCTGTTTTCCAATAAACCACTAGAAAACCAAAAGTGAATGAAGAGTGCAAGGACAGCTCCCAGGCCCAGTTCAAGCCCCATGACCGACAAAACAAAAACAAAAACAAAAAAACAACAACACAGTGTACAAGTCTACCCTGTCACTTTCATTGTGTTAAGTATTAATGTAGAGATTTTAAAGCAGAGAGGAGAGTGCTCAGCTTCTGTGCAAATACCACACCATGTTTTGTAAAGGATGTGGGCACCTGAGAAATTTGGTATCCTACAAGATTTCTAGCACTCTCCATTTATATTGAGGAATGACTGTAGTTACTTCTAATGAAAAAACTAAATAGCCAGATGTTTGTGCGTCATACCTGTAACCCTAGCTACTCAGAAGACCAAGGTCTGAGGATTTTGCTTTGAACCGCTAGACTCTTTTCTACCATTAACTATCCAAAAGCTGGAAGTGGAGCTGTGGTTCAAGTTGTAGAGCACTAACCTTGAGGGAAAAAGCTCCAAGATAGTGCCTAGGTTTTGAGTTCAAGCCCCAGTACCACCAGTATACAACATACAACACATACACACACACACACACACACACACACACACACACACGATATAATGACTAGAACATTTGCAAAGAAGATAAAGTGACTTCAAAATGGTTTAATGTTCATTCAAGTAACTCACTAAATAGCCAGTGACAAGCACAGAAATGCTGGCTGGGAGTGATGGGGATGCACACAGATGCCAGGTGGCCTGGGCCAGCCCTACAGGCTGCCCTGTGTAGGAGTCAAGGCCCTGAGTTCACAGGCTGACACGACAACCTTGATGCTCAGGTCACCTCAGCTCCGGGCCCCAGAGCCAGGCTTGCCATCTGTGGAGTTGGGTGCCAGCCAAGCACACACTTTTAGAATCTAGCATCTCCCCACAGATACTAGCTACTGCCTGAGGAAGGATCTGGCCTGAAGTCACCTTTCCAGACATTAAATACTTTGGAGGGCCAGCCAGGTTCCATGTTGGGGCACCCCCCTCATCACACCTCCTCACCTTGTCCCAGCTCCAAGTAGCGCTGTCAGACCTTTGCTTCACAGAAAATGTGACAGTCTCACCGCATGTTGGAGCCTGGCAGCAAAAAGACTTCGGTTTGCTGTGAATTTATATGGCATCTTTCCAGGCCAGGCCGCAAGGAGCTAATTAATGCAGTCACCGCCTCCCTAGGTGCCATTAAATTCATTTTATGGCTTAATTAAGAAGGGCTGCATTAATTTTATGAATGAGCAGAGGGAGGTGCCAACTGATGAATGTGCATGTGAAGTCCATGGCTGGGAGTCAGGAGGTCCTGCCCCAGTGTCCTTGGGCATGTCACTCAGCCTCCTGGCATCTCCGGGGTGGCCTGGGGGCAGTGCCCTCTTGTCATGACCCCAGGGAGTGCCAAAGCCCATAGGCAGGTGAGGGGAAGATTCTGTAGCTTCTCCATCTCTCAGCGGGGAGGTCCTGTCTGTTAGCCTAGGAAGGAGGCAAGGTAGGGGAGACCACCACAAGGCAGGGCCCACTTCTATCCTCTAGGAGCCAGGCATGGTCACTTTTAACATTTTCTCATTTCATGGCTACCAATCCTGTGTGAGGGCATGTTTTAGTTGCTGGATTTTTGTGGTGATTGTTTGATTTTGTTTTTATGCTGGTCCTAGGGCTTGAACTCAGGACTGGGATGCTATCTCTGAGCTTTTTCACTCCAGGCTAGCTATCTACCACTTGAACCACACCTCTTTCTTCTGGCTTTGTGGTGATTAAGTAGCTAGTAGAGTCTTACTGGCTTTAAACCGTGATCCTCGGATCTCAGCCTCTTGAGTAGTTAGGATTACATGCATAAGCCACTGGTGTCTGGCTTTAGTTGTTAATGGATGAGCAACCGGTGGAACAAAGGGACTTATGCCTTGAGCCTTTGATTAGTGGATCAATTTCCTTGCATCACACCTACCTAGCTCAGATGCCCAGGCCCTAGCAGCCCCCTCACAGGGCCAAACAAAACTCTGCAGAAGCTCAGTGTGTAGTGGCATCCTGCCGGTGCCCAGACACAGGCAGAGGGAAAAGTGTTCAGACAGGGCTCGCTGATCGCACATGGTTTGTCTCCTGTCTTTGAGGGTGCTGTGGTTGAGTCCAGGAACATCATCAGCTCTGGGGCCACAGAGGAAGGTGACAGCCCCAGGGAGAGTCTCCAGGTGCCTGCCAAGTCACACCCTGCCTGGAGGCAGCTGAGAGAGTTCACACAGAGCCTCTTGAAGGAGCTCCTGCTGGGAGCCTCCAGCCCCAAGCAGTGGCTGCCCCTAGATGTGTTCCTGGAGGTGGGTAGAATGGGGGAAGAGGCTGGTGGCCACAGGCAGTGGGTGTGGCCAGAGAAGGGACAGGTCCAGAGGGCTGGGTATGCCAGGCCCAAGGGGTGCTAGCTGGCTAGTTGGGGGAAGAGGGCTGCCTTCGAGGCCTACAGAGGGGTGGGGTGGGGCCTGCGAAGCACAGGCCCTGGTGAACACATGAGGATTGCAGGGTCCCTTCAAGCCCAGCAGAAGCTTGCACAGCATGATTTATTGGTGGTGGTGTTAGGGAAAACAGCAAGGGGAGAAGGTAGCCCTCAGATAGGCTCAGTTGGGTCTTAAAGGGACATTGGTGTGTCCAGAGAGCTGGCTTCAGACTTGGAGCCTGGGGCTGCCCTCCACTGCCTCCTCCCTCTGGGAAGTGGGTATGGCTGGGAGAGGGCAATACCCCACAAAAAAGCTAGACCACACTCACAGGGGCTGGAATATTAATTAGTGTACCTGCCAGGCATAGGAGGTGATGTAGAGGCCATGAAGCAGCTATCTCCATCCTGGGCCATGTTTCTAGGCTTTTCCACACAGTGCCACCAGTCAGCAGAAGCGAGACTTCCAGTCTGAGGTCCTGCTTTCCACCATGGAAGTGTTTCACACAATGAGCACAAGCAGCATGCCCATCCTCAGAGGTGAGTGGGTGCTTCCCTGTGCCCCCCATTCTTGACACTAGGCCACTGAGCTGAGCAGGAAAGCTAGCGTGCCCCCCACCCACTGACCCCAGCGATAGGATAGACGCTCCCCTCAGTGTGTTAGTCTCTTCATGGTACCACACATGGGCATCCAGGACACCCCGAGAGAGGATGGCGGTATTTGCTATTTCCCATGATATATCTCTTTATCACTATGCCACTCAGAGACAGAAAGTTCTCTATCCTCTGACCTAAAATTGTTTCTTCTCCTAAGCTGGGCACTGGTGATTCACACCTATAATCCTAGCTACTCAGGAGGCTGAGCTCTGAGGATGAGGATTCAAAAGCCAGCCCTGGCAGGAAAGTCCTTGAGACTCTTATCTCCAACTAACCAGAAATGGAGGTGTGGTGTAAGCAGTAGAGCACCAACCTTGAGTGAAAAAGCTAAAGGACACACCTAAGCCTAAGCCTGAGTTCAAATTCTAGTACTGGCACCAAAAAAAAAAAAAAAAAAGCAGTTCTCCTCTCCAGTGGAAATGTGGCTCCTTTGCATGTTTAAGAATGATGGAAACGAACATTCCTTTAATGAGATCTGAGGCTCTGCACCTGGGCTGAGACTAAATGCCCAATAAACATTTCTGGAACAAGTGAATTAGATGAAGAGTTACCATTGCCCCCAGAACTTGCACTTGGGGCTTCACTGTAAAAGTTTAGCTCTAAGAGCAGGTGTGCTATCTCCAGATTAGTCAAAAGTCCTTCCTGTGCATTTTTGAGCATGACTTATTTGGGGGAGGTTTCCTTGCCACACTTTTGGCCTTTCTCCTGGAATATCAGAGAGGTAGGAAATGGGGAGGAGCAAGAATGTCGTACGGCAACCTTGGTTCCCAGGCCGCAGCAGGTATGGCCTGGAATGAAGACCTCTACTGAGTGGAGATGCCCATCATAGCTAATGTGGGGGTAGGGGTGGGGTTCCAGAGATTAGTCGAGATCTCTAGGCTCTCAGTCCGTGAGTTCCAATGGGAAGCACTTCACTAGACTCTATAGCTCTATCCTCGGCCCACCATGACAGTAGGGCCCCATGTCATGGCCACGCATGCTCATTTGTCTCAGGCATGAGATTCTCTCCATCTTCCTTATGAGCAGCCCCTGGAAGAAATGTCTCCCATGCCTGGGTTCTCATCATGTGATTTGTATTACTGACTGGATTGTGGGAGATCCTTTCAATTTGAATATACCTGGGCTCACTGGGCATCTACCAAAGACTCTGGAGCAAAGGCCTATGCAGGTGAAAAGGACATGGTTACCACAAGGGGCTCCAAGGGATTTAAGCTCTCATCTTGAGCCAGGTGCTGGTGCCTCACACCTTTAGTCCTCGCTACCCAGGAGGCTGAGGTTTGAAGATTGCAGTTCAAAGCCAGCCTGGGCAGGAAAGTCTGTGAGACTCTTATTTCCAATTAACTACCAAAAAGTGTGGTTGTAAATCAAGTGATAAAGTGTCAGCCTTGAGTGAAAAATCTAAGGGACAGTGCCCAGACCTTGTATTCACACACACACACACACACATACTGACCCCCCCATCCCTTTCATCTTCTGCCTTCTCACCCCAACCAGGAAGTAAAGAGTCTCAGCCAAACATGGAAGCTGCTGCTGCTCCTTCCCTGGCAAACATCTCCTACTTTACCCAAAAGCTGGTGGAGAAGCTGTACAGTGGGATGTTCTCAGCAGACCCCAGACACATCCTTCTCTTCATCACAGAACACATCATGGTGGTAAGAACCTGGGCTGGCTGGCGTGGCAAAAAATCTGCTGACAGGCAGGGATGCTTCCTGGCATGACCTGAAATGTTGCTCATTGGTGTAGCTGAGTCTGCTGTTCTTGGCTGATACAGCACCTCAGGTGGGAGAAAAGGGCAGACCTTTGAAGGCCCATTATAAACCTAGCGGCCAGTAGGTGAGCTGTTGGACTCTCCCTTGGGCCATCCAGAGTCTTCCCAGCTTCTTGCAAGTACTCCTGCCCTCTCTGCCCTGTTTAGTTTTAACTGGGATTGTTAGCTTCCCATTAATTATTATTCCTTATCAGCAAAGGAAGATTCAGAAATCCTTTCCTCATTTATAGCTAGTTCATTTTTTTCTTAATATCCACTTCTGTCTGCAGGCAGGATTCTCTCTCTCTCTGTGTGTGTGTGTGTGTGTGTGTGTGTGTGTGTGTGTGTGTGTGTGTGTGTGTGTGTGTGTGTGTGTGTGTGCATGTTACCAGTGCTGGGGCTTGAACTCAGGACTTGAGTGCTGTCCCTGAGCTTTTTGGCTCAAGTGAAAATGCTCAGGGACAGTGCCCAATTCCAGAGTTTAAGCTCCAGGACTAATTCTTAAAAAAAAAAAAAAGTATTAAAATCAGTCTTTTGGAGAACAGTGTTGCAAATGGAAAGAGCTCCTGATGGTCAAAAGAAAACTTCACCACAAAGAATGGGTCCCCAGGCCTTCAGGGATGTCAGGCCCAGGCTCACAGATCTCCTTATGCCCCTCATCTTGCTCTTCAGTGGCTGCCAGGCATGCCCAAAAGCTTAACCTCATTTTGAGAGGTGCAGTCCATTTGGAGAAGCTAGAGAGAATGAAACCATAACCACAACTCCCAAAGGGCTGAAAGGCAACTGTGTTGAATAGTGGAGAAATGTCCACCACTCACATCTGTCCCCCTGTATCTAACGATGACTTTCCTGATAGAGTGAGAAGTGAATCTTTTTACTAAAGCCAAATAGATGTGCCAAGGGATCTGTGCTAGAGACCTTCTGGCTCCTTCTCTAAGTTTTTCATGAACTAAAACCCACTGGGCCACATTTCCTCTGGATGATATAGGAGGGGAAAATAAAGACATAGCTAGTGTTTGGTGGTGTTCCTACTCACTCTCTGGCTTCTTAACTCTAAGTGGGTGATCATAGGATCTGGCCCCCCCAAGCCATGACATTTACATAATATATATATTTATTTATTTTATGCCAGTACTAGGGTTTAAATTCAGGACCTGGGTCCTGTCCATTTGCTATTTTGCTCAAGGTTGGCTCTCTACCACTTGAGTCATAGCTTCACTTTTGGCTTTTTTGTTGGTTAGTTGAAGGTAAGAGCCTTATAGACTTTTCCTGCCTGGGCTGGCTTTGAACGGAGATCCTCAGATCTCAGCCTCCTGAATAGCTATGATAATAAGTATGAGCCTCTACTGCCAGACAAGAGATAATAATTTAAATTTATGTAGATTGCTGCAATCAGTTCTGAATATAATTGTAGGAATGCTATAACCTCTTTATACATGATAATGATAATTAATTTGATATTACTAATAGCATATCCTCATATCCTAAATATTAATCATATGCTAATATGTCTGAAATCCCTGGTACCCAGATATGTTTTCCATAATGTAACAGTGGCAAACTTTTAGCTCCTTATTTATTTAATGCAAGTTTTTTGCCTCGATTCTGAATTGACTTTTACATAGAAGTCTTTGTTTTAAACAGAAATCCACAGGTAGATGGAAATAGTCCTTTGTAAAATTCAGGTGTTGGTTTTTGCTACTATCATTTCTGTGATATACTTGGTCAGTGGGTGAGATTGTAAAGTCTTCATAAGTATGTGTATATGTCTTATTTTTCATGACACAGGTCATCGAGAACACATCTTCTCAAAGGGACACTCTCATCAGCGCTTTATACAGCAGCTTAAATAAAGTTATTCTTTATTGCTTGTCCAAGCCCCAGCAGTCTCTGTCAGAGTGTCTGGGCCTCTTCAGTATCCTGAGCTTCCTCCAGGAACATTGGGACATTATCTTTGCCACGTACAATTCCAACATCAGCTTCCTGCTGTGTGTCATGCATTGTCTTCTGCTGCTAAGTGTGAGAAGGTAAGAGTGGCTGGCTTGGCTCCTTCCTGCCAACATATAGACTGGTACTTGATTGAGGTTAGTATTAATAGTAGACACCTTTGGTTTACCTGGCCATCCAAATTCTGTGCAACATTTAAGAATGTACTAGGTTATCTCCAAACTGCCCATGTGACTTTTGTGTGTGGCGTATGCCGATAGTGGGGCTTGAACTCACAAGTTTGCACTCTCTTTTGGCTTTTTTGCATAAGGCTTGTGCTCTACCATTTGAGCCATACTTTCTAGCCTTTTTATTTGCTTGTTAATAGAAGATAAGCATAACTTGGATTTGCCTTCATGAGCTTGCTTTGCACCATGATCCTTAGATCTCAACCTCCTGAATAACTAAGATTACAGGAGTGAGCCACCAACACCTAGCTTTGTCTATGTGACTGAGTAATCAGAATCACCATGAAATAGTTTACTTCATTTCCACAATTTTGAATTATATTTCATTGGAATGTACATGCGTGAGTGCGCAGGTGTGTGTGTGTGTGTGTGTGTGTGTGTGTGTGTGTGATAGATTGGGACTTGAACTCAGGGTCTGAGACTGTCCTTGAGCAATTTTACTCAAGGCTAGCACTCTACCACTTGAGCCATACCTTCAGTTCCAGCTTTTTGGTGATTAACTGGAGATAAGTGCTCTATATTCTTTCTTGACCTGCCTGTTTTTGAACCATGATCCTCAGATCTCAGCCTCCTGAGTTGAACACTATCTCTTATCAAGAGAGCCAGGCTGCGTGTAGGAGAAGAGGCTGTGATACTACACTTTACTCTTGTCCTTTTTAAGCTTGATCATTTGAAAAAACAAACGAACAACCAGGCGCTGGTGGTTCATGCCTATAATCCTAGCTACTCAGGAGGCTGAAATCTGAGGATCGTGGCTCAAAGCCAGCCTGGGCAGAAAAGTCCATGAGACTCTTATCTTCAATTAACCGGAAGTGGTGCTGTGGCTCAAGTGGTAGAGCACTTGCTTTGAGCTGAAGAGCTCAGGTACAGCCCCCAGGCCCAGAGTTCAAGCCCATGACTGACCAAAAAAAAAAAAAAGAAAGAAAGAAACAAGCAAACAACATTCCATCCCTACCTGGAGAGATGACTTCTCCCAACTATCTTTGGAAAGTACTGAGGAGCTCTCCAGCCTAGAGGACTTGTCCTATGTGCTATTCTGTTTATTACTGTAAAAGCATGTATCTTTTTATTTGTCTGCATTAAAAGACCCATTTTAGTGTATGGTTCAAGTTGAGGAGCTTTTTCTTTTCTGTGTGGGAAGAATTTATTAGGTTTTCTTTTATCTTGAAAGCAGAGGTAAGAAGGTTGAAATTGCTAACTGGATTCGTGTGCTTGGAGCATCACTTTCCCTAGACCTCCACGCAGCAAAGGGGGCACCCATATCTCAGCGTGACTTTATTTTTAGACATTTCAAAATAGGTCGTCTTCTGTGTTGATGTCTTTTTCATTTTTAGGTTTGTCATTTTAGATTCAGCATGCAGACATTTTCTCAGTGTTTATTCTGTTTCAGGAAGCTCAGGTGGGGGATCCTGAAAGAAACAACAGGGACACTAACAGAACTGAGACAACCCTATAACCCGGAGCACAGTTTCTGGGGAATCTAATATCTAAACCGTTTTGCTCCTGTTTATAATTGGCTGCCTTTTGTGTGGGACCTTGGCAGAATTTAAATGTGAAGCCCATATTAACAATTACTAAGAATTTTAAGGTGGTAGGGCAGAGTCTAAACGTGAGACTCTTCAAAGTGTAAAACCCCATGCAATTGCACAGGCTGGGTACCTATGAAGACATTCTGGTTTCACGGTATGAACACAGTCCCACACAAACATGGCTAGTTTTGACAAGGAATCGGGGAAGGATGGCTCAGAAACCTGATGGAAACATAAAGCAGATTTCAAAGAAAGAGTTGTTTTTGGGCTGGGAAGGTGGCTCAATGGTAGAGCGCTTGCCTTGCATGCATGAGGCCCTGGGTTCGATTCCTCAGCACCACATAAGCAAAAAGCTGGAAGTGGCACTGTGGCTCAAGGGGTAGAGCACTAGCCTTGAGCTGAAGAGTTGAGGGACAGTGCCCAGGCCCAGAGTTCAGACCCCACGACCGGACCCCCCCCCCTCAAAAAAAAAAGCAAGAGTTGTTTTTCCACTATGCAGAAAACCATTCTACAGAATCAGCAGTGGGAAATTGTTACAAGGTGTTTGCTTTAATTTAGTTTGACATCTTTGTCCATATCGATCAGTGTTGAGTTTCAAGGCATTAATTTGGTTTTTTTTGTTGTTGTTGTTTTATTTTCTCCTAGAATTTTATTGACTTAAATGTCTTTACCTAGATTTAAGAAATAATAACGTGTACATATGAATAAGTAAAAAAAAATTGTAACTGAGAAACGACAAAAGAATTGAATTACAATGCATAAAGTTATATGTTATAAATATATCACTGTAAGATGTCATAGGAAATATATAATTCTTTGTTTTATATATATATTATTTTTCTGAACTTTGAAAGGTTGCACATGGGATGACAACTTGAGGTGTCCGTCTAAGTGTCCACTGCCTCTTGATCAGAGTTCCCCTTTCCATTAGACTCATTTCACATTTCCTACTTCCTTTTTCATGGGTGCATATGGAGTATTTTGCTGTTTCCTTTCCCATTAATCCAAACTCTGCCCTGTTATTTGTAATGGAGAACTTGGAATGGTCCCAAGAGGATTTGAGTTTGTAATGGGAACTCTTGTGTCTACTAGTTATCCAGAAGGATTTGGATTGGAGCCCAAGCCTAGAATAACTCCTTACCATCAAGTCTTCCTTGTCCCTAATGAAGAGGTAAAAGAAAAACAGGAAGAAGATCTCCCAAGTTTGAGTGATGGTAAGCTTTATTTTACATTTTTGTTGCTGTTGTTGTACTTCCTTCCTCCCCCGCATGATAGGTATGGATGTATAGTCATAACTATAGTGTTGTATTCTTGAGTTTATTTTTCTTTCCCATTAAGAAAGGGAATACTATGAATGTAAGTCAAGAGAGGGGCTAGGAAATCCAAGGGATGGAGTGGTACAACAAGTTAAGCCAGCAGATAATGTTATTATTATAACATGCTATAATAATAATGAATTAGAAATGGAATGGAAAACGATGGATGGATGGGTGGATGGATGGAGGGAGGGAGGAAGAAGGGAGGGAGGAAAGGAAGGGGAGGCAGATAGACAGATGGAGTAGAAGCTCTATGCTTAGACACGGTTAGTCTAGAAGCTTCCTATTTACTGAAATCCTTGTGTACTGCACTATAACTTGAAAGCATAAGGTCATCTTACCTGGTTCAAGCTATCACTTAGTGACCTTTTTTCATTGTTTCCTACTAAATGAGAAAGAATAAAAGCTCATTACTTTCTCTAAACTTTCAGTTTGATGGAGCTTATTCATGGATTTACTCATTTCAAATAAAATTATAGGGATGGGAAATGTATAGTGTGTGTGCACATGCATATATACATACACACACACAACAATCAATTCTGTGTGTTTGAAACACTGCATCTCTCTCTTGATCTGGGAACAAAAATAATAATAAACCTAATAAACCTTCCTCTGCCACTTGGCTAGCATAAGTTTCCCTTGCTTTGTGACATTTTGTAACATTCCCCAGAGAGGCCAACATGGGAGAAAAAGTTGAGAGGAGCTGTTTGGGGGTGGTATTTGGCTCCTGAGTTGTTCAGGGATGGTCTCATGGCTCTAGGGATAATGCAAGGCATCTCTTAAGTATCCAATAGAATGTGGGAAAAGAGGATCTATGATCCCATCCACCCCAATTTCCTAAGCTGGGCCTATGAGGCCAGCAGGATGATGGTAGGCAGCTGGAAGCAGGAAAAGGCCACCTGCATGGATGTTGGTGGCATTTTCTATGGCTCAGCATCTTGATTCTGGCTGGAGCTTGTTCAGAACAATGAGAAGCATGTAGGTAAGAGTGGCCTTGATGGGCCTTCTCTTAATCCTCGCTGGAGGAGGAACTGAGGCTACCTGATTGTGCTATGTGCTCTCCCTCTCTCTTCTAGTCCAGCATAACATACAGAAGATGGTGCGAACTCTCTGGCAGCAGCTCGTGGCACAGAGGCGGCAGACACTGGAAGATACTTTCAAAATTGATCTCTCAGTGAAACCTGGGGAGAGAGAAGTGAAGATTGAAGAGGTCACCCCACTGTGGGAGGAGACATTGCTCAAAGCCTGGCAGCATTACTTAGGTAGCTCCAGGAAATGGGAGCTTCTGGGTCACAACAAACCAGATTCCCCCAAGGTTCCACTCAGGGCACAGAGCCTTTGCTACATTGAAGCTCTTTTAGTGTGTGTGTGTGTGTGTGTGTGTGTGTGTGTGTGTGTGTATGTGTGAGAGAGAGAGAGAGAGAGGGAGAGAGAGAGAGAGAGAGAGAGAGAGAGAGAGAGAGAGAGAGAGAGAGAGAGAGAGAGACTGTGTGAGTACTAGGGCTTGAATTCAGAGCCTAGGTGCTGTCCCTTCTCTGCTCATGACTGGCACTTTCCCACTTAAGTTCCACTTCTGGCATTTTGCTGGTTAATTGGAGATAAAAGTCTCACAGACTTTCCAACCAGGCTGGCTTTGAATAGTGATTTTTAGATCTCAGTCTCCCAAGTAGCTAGGATTACAGATGTGAGCCACCAGCACCTGGCTACACAGACTCTCTTTCTTGGCCCTTTGTTTGGTGATACTTACATCAGTTAAACCTCATGTGTCTTTTCTCACTAAGAATGAATACTGCATTCCTTATTGAGTGAAAAGGGAGGCTCAAACTCAACCAAGCGGGTAGATCCCAGTGGTCTCCTAGAAAGATGGGCCTTGAATCAGAGCTGGGGCTTGGCCTCGGGAACTCGGAACTAACTCTAGTTTCTACCCTGATGTTTATCTACCAGTTTTGAAACTTGGTACCTAGTTATGCAATAACCTTGGACCTCAGATATTTTATGTACTGTCATTTCATAAGGTGAACATCTTTATCCCCAAACTATTAATGTGATCATAATCTAATATTTTTGCCTTCATATCACTCAATGCTACAGCAGCAATGAGGTTCTAATTTGTTTTGGAAGAGGTCACTGCTCTTAAATTATGGCTCATGTACTTGTTATGAGTCTTTCAGCAAAATTAAATTCATAGCGAGTTAAGAATTAGTCAGGAGCTAGTGGTTCATACCTGTAATTCTAGCTACTCAAGAAGGTGATTTCTGAAGATAACAGTTCTAAGTCAGCTTGGGCAAGAAAGTCCGTAAGACTTTCATCTCCAATTAACTATCAAAAAAGCTAAAAGTGGAGGTTTGGCTCAAGTGGTACAGCACTAGCCTTGAGGAAAAAAACTAAGGAACAAGGCCCAGGCCCTGAGTTTAAGCCTCAGGACTGGCATAAACACAGACATACATACATACAGATGACAGGCAAACAGACACACACATACACACTTATACACACATACATGAATTAGTTATTTTCATGTAAATTTTCTCAGACTGTTAAGAAGTATAGAATCCTTGCCTAATTGGTTTCTAAATTGGTCCTGGCAAATGCATGTGTCTTGTCTCTCTGTCTCCTAATATATTTTTGCTGCTTGAATAAAATATAGGCTAGATAATTTGTAAGTAATAAACATGTATCACTCCCCGTTCTGGCAGCTGGGAAATCCAAGGCCAAGGTAGCAGCAGATCCACTGTCTGAGGAGGGCTCTGTCTACTTCCTGGGTGGAGCTTGTGCTGTGTCATTTTCAGGGAAGGAACTCCAAGTGTGCTCACCAGGGGGAAGTAATGAAAAAGCAAAAAGGGTCTCAACTAGTTTTCTTCAGCCCTCATGATTTAATCTCTTTTCCCAAAACTCTGCTTCTTAATCTCACTGCAGTGAGGACAGAGCTCCAACCTGAATTTTGGAAGGAACACATGTGAGCCATAGCAATCCATGCATGTACAACTTGAAGGCACAACACCAGATTCCATTTCAGGAAAAGTAGAATAAAATAGAACGTATATTCCCATGCTACAGAGTTTGTGGAATAAAATAATAGGGTAGATCTGATAGCTCTCTCAGGCCAAAACCTATATATTGAACACTTTCTATGTCCCAGGTCCTTTAAACACATAACATTACATAATCTTCATAATGCCCCTATGAGGTAAGATACTGTTTAACCCATTTTATAAAATAGAACACTGAGGCTTATCTAGTATATCACTACAAGTCAGTATGACAAGGAAGTAGAAGTTAAGCTAGATCTGGAAGGAGACCTGGAAGCCTGCTCAGCATTTCTTAGCCAAGGGGTTGAAGGACAACAGCATGAGTCTGCAGCTCAAACTCTCTCCTTCTGTGGAGTCAGACGCATGGTGCTCATGCCCCTAGCTGGCTCTTTGATGGCTAAAGAGACTATAGAAACAGTTTGCCTTCAGCTGCAGCTCTGACATGCTTTGCTTCCATGACCCCAGCATCTGAGAAGAAATCTCTGGCCAGTCGCTCCAGTGTCACACACCACAGCAAAGTTACTTCATGGAGTGGGAGCCTTTCCTCAGCCATGAGACTGGTACCCGGCCGGCCGGCCAAGGACGCAGAGTGCAAGGCAGAGGTGAGTCCAGACTTGTCCTTACATGTTGGCAGGCATTGGTGTCTACTGTCTTTTGTCTGTCATGGGCTATGACCTAAATCCATTTCTTCAGAGTGTGTGAGGGTATGCATGTGGTTTCCTAATTTAGGCTATGTGTAAGGGAGCCAGGCCTTAGAGTAGCTTCACTTTGAAATTAATCTTGGATCTTCTTTGGGGCCAGAAGCAGGTGTTTCTTTGGGAGTTAAAAACCAGTCGCTGGTGGCTCAGGCCTGTAATCCTACCTACATGGGAGGCTGAGATCTGAGTATTGTGATTTGAAGCCAAACTCCAGACAGGAAAGTGTATGGGACTCTTATTTCCAATTTACCACCCAAAAACCAGAAGTGGAAGTGTAGCCTATAAGAAGAGCATTAGCCTTGAGTGAAAAAGTAAAGGGACATTGTGCAGGCTCTGAGTTTGAGTCCCAGCCCCAGCACAATACAATAACAACAACAACAGCAGCAACAACAAAACAATTGTAGTGCTAGTCTTTTCTGAGGTTCTGTGTATTTAAAGGATCCTAGCCTGCTGCTCAGTGAGACCCAACTGTGAGTCTATCCGAAGACAGAAGCTTTCCTGCCCACTTTGGCTCCATTTCTAACAGACACCAGTGGGTCCTGTTGATTGTGTATGGGTAGAGCCTTTGGGATTTTTCTAATCTGTTGTTTGAAAGTTGCAAAACAAATCAAACCTAAAACCCAGGGATATCAGCAATGACTTTTTGCAGTTAGAGATACCTTTGGAAAGGATCTGGGGCATAGGAAGAGGTTGGGGGGGGGGTCTCTGTTCCATGATGTCTGGAACATCAGCTGGGTTCTGTTACTCATATCTGGTGGCTGCTCTGGCCTTAATCTGAGACTTTTATCTGAGCTCTTGGGGAGAACACCTGCACTGGGTCCTCCCTCTGAATTGGGCTTCCTTACAACATGGCACCAGGATTTGCAGGGCTGCAGCTGCTACAGATGATGATGATGATGATGATGATGATGATGATAATGATGATGACCGAGAGAAAGCACATGCATAGGCAGAAGCCACGCTGCCTGTTCATGACTTAGGCTCATGTATTATGTAGCGGAAACAGGCATGATGTTTGGTAAGGTTTAAGGTTATAGAACTGGACTTCACCACTGGATAGAGTGGGTACCATTCTACAAGAACATATTGACCTGAAAATGTGTTCTCATTTTGGACAACAAAATCTGTCCTGAATTCTAACCCTGGGGTCATGGACTTGTCTTCAGAAGCAGATTGTGGTGCTGTAGGCATTGGTGTTTGGGTCAGGAGATCATGGGCAAACACCTTAACTTCCTCAGGCTTTATCTCCTTATCTCTATCGTAGGCTGGATCACTTTGAGCAGTGAAGGGTTGGGCTCCCTGGGGAAGAGTGCAGGTAGCTGACAGGTACATGAACTTTTGAATAGAGATGGTCCAGGTCTACCTGCTCAGAATTTGTTGTCCATGGTGACCAGTGACAGGAGGCCACCGAGTCACCAGAGGCTGGCCAGCTAGGGGAAGAGGTGTCTTCTTACCGAGGTTGAAGACTCAGTAAGTGGAGAAAATGCCTAGCTTGGATGTGAGATCAGAACCACACTTCACTGATCAGTAAGGCACTTGCTACTTATACCTGGGGGTGACCCTTTCCTCTTATTCAAGTTCTGTGGTGAAGGACTTTTATTTTGTTTATATTATTTTATCTTATACAGGTCCTGGGGATTGAACTCAGGGCCTGGGTGCTGTCCCTGAGATATTTTGTTAAACTAGTGCTCTACCACTTGAGCCAAATTTCCACTTCTGGCATTTTGGTGGCCAATTGGAGATGAGTTTCTTTGCCCAGTGGCTTTGAACTGTGATCCTCAGATCTCAGCCTTCTGAGTCACTAGGATTACAGGTGTGAGCCACAAGGGCCTGGCTTGTTTTTTATTTTTATTCTTTTTTTGAGTCTCAGTCTTACTAAGTAACCTAGGATGGCCCTGAACTTGATGTGTAGCCCAAGCTGGCTTGGAATTGAAGATCTTGCTTCAACCTCTCAAGTGCTGAGATCACACACACACATATCACCATACTTAGTGAGCAGTGCTTTCCTGAAGACACTTTGCTCATTCAGTTATGCATCAGATCCTTACTAAGTGCCTGTTGCTTGCTGCAGGGTTATAGCACTAGGGTTATGGCAGAGAACAAAACTGACTTGTTCTCTGCTTTTATTGAGTTGCATTCTAAGTAGTAAAGTTGGAAATAAGCTGATCAACAAATCCATAAATGTTCAGTACTCCTTGTAATGAAGAAATGTTTAGATAAAGTTAGGGTAGTAGAACAGGAACAAGATATTAGAGGGAGGAGACTGGCAACGCCATCTCTGCCACAAGGTCATGTGGTCAAAGAGTGAACTCAGGCTGTGTGCAGGTGGCTCATACCTGTAATCCCAGCTACTCAGGAGGCTGAGATCTGAGGATTGAGGTTTGAAGTCAGACCAGGCAGGAAAGTCTGTGAAGTCTTATCTCTACTCAACCACCAAAAAGCCAGAGGTAGAGGTATGTCTCAAGTGATAGAACTCCAGCCTTAAACAGAAAAAGCTAAGGGACAGAGCTTATGGTATGAGCTCAAGATCCAGTACACACTCTGTCTCTGTCTCTGTCTCTCTGTCTGTCTGTCTCTTTCTCACACACAGAGGGAGAGAGAAAAAGAACTTAGGAAGCATATGATGCTGCCGCATATGATGCTGCCAATGCTCATGAATAGGTCATGGATAGGCAAGAACTGGTTAGGGAGAGAAGGTAGTTGTACTGGCACTGAGGCAGGTACGTGCGGGGGCCTGCCAGCAAAGGCTGGTGTGGCTGCGTTGACAGGATAAGGGGACCTCGGGGCCTCCCAGCTTCCAGGTAGCCATGGGTGTCATCACCCTCTGCTCTTAGCATCAGAAAGAGCTGTGGTTTTTATCAGGGTGGTGGCAGACATTTTTCAAGTGGTTCTGTCTGCTGCTTTGTATTTTCAGAAGTGCAGAGAGATATCCTGGTCTAGGGTTATAAGTGCACATACCTTATGGGATCAGTTTCTGTAAAGCTTACCCCTTCTCACTGGCTTCTTTCCTCTTGGCCTCCCCTCATTTTCCCTTCAACCTGATTTATTTATACTTTATAGTTTAAAATACATTAAGCATTCTCAGAGAGAGATTTGCTTGGGAAAAAAAAGGGAATTGTGCTTCAGTGTTTTTTTTAAAACTCAACTGCACCAAGCTAGGTGCTGTTACTCACCTCTATAATCCTAGCTACCCAGGAGGCCTATATCCCAAGATTGTGATTCAAATCAGGGCGGAAAAGTTTGTAAGACTCTATTATCTCCAATGAACCACCAAAAAGCCAGAAATGGGGTGTGGCTCAAGTGATAGAGTGCCAACCTTGAGCAAAAAAGCCAAGGGAGAGTGCCTAGGGCCTGAGTTCAACCCTAGGACTGACATCTAAATAAATAAATAGTAAGTAAATAAAAAATTTAAAAAATCAACTGCAGCTTTTTCTATCAGCATTCGTGACAAGTAACTCAGTCTAGGCTGAGCACAGGGCCTGACATAGAACAGACTTTTCAATAAGAGACCTGGGAGGACCCAGAAGGAGTGGGAAGAAGGCTGCCCCTTCTGTGGCTGCGATGAAACTCACCAGCCCTGAGCCCATACATCCATCACTCTTCTCCAAGAGCTGCCTGCCATTGTCATTTCCGGAGAACTCAAGTTCTCAGGTACATATGTACGTTGTGATGTCATAGGATAACAGCATCAACTATTTGCCCTGGGGTCTGTTTAATTATTTTTAAAAATTAATTTTGATTATTACAGCTGATTACACCTCAGTGAGCAATGTAATTGATATTTTCTAATGTATCCCAAGGAACATTTTGTACAACACGCTTTTTGTTGTTGAAGGTTAAAGACTCCGTTATTGGTTTTTCCCTAAATATGCCCACATCATTAGTCCCTCCAGCGAGGAGGTCGCCATCTGGAAAAAGCAGCATGGAGACATTAGTCAGGCACAAATGCATGAAATTGGTGTTTCCGCATCTTCTGTCTCTTTCTTCTGGAAAGAAGAGGTTTGTAATTAAAGAAGTTGGTGTTGGAGGAAGCATTATTCATTTGGTGTTATTCCTTATCATGTCAGCGCTGACAGCTCTATTGTACTGATAAATTGTTCCTGGGAGCAAGACATACAATGTTGGATTCATAATTCCTCTTACCTAGCTTCATCTGAAGCAGAAAATCTTTTCTTCTAGGCCGGTGAGCTGAGCTTCCAGACAAGCCTGATTTGATAGATGCTACTTCCATTCATGGATGATATTCTTTCTTCTTTTCCTCCTGGCTCTATTGCAGTCCCTTCTGGGATCACACTATGAAGTCATAGTGCCTGGCATGATGAAGGTCATAGGTATCAGCCTGTTGGACTGAGGATGGAAATGCGGGCTCCCTTGAGGCTCCCAAAAGTCATATCCACGCTCTGCTTGGGGCAACCTAGTGCACACTTAGGTCAGCCATTCTTCCCAGCAGGAAATGTGGCTTTTCCTGTATCAGTTGCTGAGGTCAATTGCAGACATTGTTGTTTAATACATTGAAGATGTACTAAGTCACTGTTGATAACTTCTCTGTGGCAGACATGAGGGCAGCTTATGATACTTATTTCCATTTATAGGAAGCCAGGGGAGGGCTAGGTACATGGAAATGTTCTGTTCAGACTCATGGGCCCGCTTGTCTGTTTTGCTCACAGCTAGTGCTCTACAACTTGAACCATACCTCCACTACCAGTTTTTGCTAGTTGACTGATAAGATAGATAGATAAGAGTCTCTCATATTTTTCTCCTTGGGTTGCCTTTGAACTGAGATTCTCAGATCTCAGCCTGATGAGTAGCTATATGGACCTGAGCCACTGGTGCCCAACCTCTGTCCAGCCTTAATATCGTTCCTCTGCAGATTAAAATTATCCTCCACTATTAAGCATATCGTA